CTTGCTGCATCTCGGCGAACTTTGCATGCAAAGTTTCTTTTTCCGCTTCTCGTATCAGTGTCGAGTAGACCACAGGCGAACTGTTGAGATATTGTGTCGCGCATAGTTCGCTTGTAAAGGTCATCTTCTTCTCGTTCCAATCGATTGTCAGATTTTGTTTTCGCAACCATGGCATCCCGAGAACTATCTCATGGTTCTTGAGATCTGCTACCTGCAAGGTTGCCATTTCCCTATGGCTATCAATGTCCATAAGTACTGTCACCGTATGGGTTATAGGACCCATTGCGCTTGGCTTTCCATCCACTAGGTAGACTTGTCTCGCTTTCTTCGCTTCTTTAGTGTAGAGGCCGTATTTGTCGCAGATTTCCTTATCAATGAAATCTTCAGTAGTCCCAGAGTTGAGCATTGCATATATTGTTGTTTCTTCGTCTTCTTCATTGTATATCTTCGTCTTAATCATCACATAATCTCCATCCCCTTCTCCTCTTTACGTATGTAGTGCCGTGTAGTAGTTTGCTAACTTAATGAGTTTTCCAGGTCCACATCTTGGGTCTCCCAGACCACCGTTTACTGGGGACCCTCATTGTTTTCCGCCGGTGAATCTTCTGCAATCATTTCGCCAATGTTGCTCCTCTTTTGATTTTGGAAGCGATTATTTCCAGTAGCTTTGGTGCCTTGGTATCCACTATCAGGTTAGCTTCTGCATTCTCGTATCCGATGTCCTGCTTTTCCGCACCTTAAGCAGAGTTTCCCGTTCATTCTTCTGGCGTATTCTTCCTTAAACAGGTTCAGAGTTGGTCCTGCTCTTGATTTGTCCAACTCCATTGGCTCGCCTGGTGGTAATGCTCGACTTTCACCTCGAGCTGCTAGCTGTTTGAAGGTTCCATCCACATTCCTGGATAATTGGACCACTCTGTATGCTATAGTGTTTTCCGAGTTGCTTCGAACCATGTTTAGTTTGCTTTCCTTATTGATCGCCCATCTTGCAAATCGTTTTGCTGTTGTATAGCGTAAGTCAGAGATTCCCCATGCCTCTCAGAGTCTCTCACAGCAGTTTCTTAGGAGGATGATGTAGAGAGTAGCATCATCAAACTCGGCCTCGTATTCCAATAGTCAGCATTTGTTCCAGTACGCCGAAAAAGTTTGTTTTCCTTATTGGAGTTTTTTCAGCTTTCGTCTTACTGTCTCTTTGGCGTTGGAATCCCCGAATTGCTCGAAGAGTATCACCTTGAACTCTTCGTACGTGACCCATTCCCCCTGTTTCCTTCTATCTTAGAAGGACATGATCCATTGCCCCGCGAGTCCTCTTAGGAGAGATTCCACATATGGAATCTTGATCTCATCGTGGTGTTCTCCATATCTCTTAACGGCAAAATACTCTTCGCATTGTGCCAAGAATATTCATAGCTTGTCTTCCGCTCCTTCATATGTGTCGGGTTCTTTTGCTTTCGGTCGTTGGATGTTTCCTTGTTCTGTATTTCATGTTGCTGCTAGAAATACCTAAAACTGATTCTCAGTCATTCCTAGTATACTAGTGACTGGTACTAGCGCAGCAGGGGCCGGTGGCCCAGGTACTGCTGATCCCAACATTCTCTCGGGTCGTGGAGTTCCTGCTGGATAGCTATCGACTGGTGATCCTTTCTCTGGGGTTACTGGGCTTGTTGCCCTTGAGGGCTCTGCTGAAACGTGATCTAGGTCGTCACTAAATCCCTCTAGGTTGAGGTTTTGATCGTTAATGTCGATATCTCTCTCCCTATCTGGGTTGAAGGATACTGTCTTGTATCGTTTGGCATCGCACTAGGTAACGCTTTGTAATGTAACGATCCCATCTTGGATGGTTAGGTTTTGGCGACGGGAAACGATACTTCTCTTTTTCTTCTTCTCTTCTTCTTTGTCTTACGATAGCACTAGGACTCTGCCTACGTTACTGATAGTACAAGACCTCTGTCTTCTATTGGGAACACCTATCGTAAACTTTCTCTAACTCTTCTTTGTAAAGAACTTTCCTTGGCATAGCGATAACATTGCAATAAAGATAACGATCGTAAAGGTGTTTTATATTCGTTAAAGTAATAAGTAGGAAAAGTACTTAGAATAAAGCGTGAAGAACCTATCCTCCTCAGCTGCATCGGCCTCCTTATATAGTATTCTTCCCACCTGTAGTCATGTTACCCAAAGTGGTCACATGTGTGAAACCAAATCATAATAAACTAGTCATGTGACCAAAATAGTCACATGCTCAAAACCCATGACCTCATAGTGAGGTCATGTACAAAAACTCATAAACCAATCATAATGCAATAAACAAGTCATATGACTCGACTGAGCCATATGCGTGAAACCCATGACCTCATAATGAGGTCATGTGCAAAACATAAATCATATGTGCAAGGCATACCCGCAAGGCACACTCACAAGGCACACTTGTCAGGTGCACGTCCCATGACTCATATTTGAGCCATGTGCGAAAGCATCACAAATCCCACACATAACAAATCATATGACTCGAATGAGTCATATGTGTGAAACAATAACATACCTGTGACTCATAACTATGTGTCACATGAAAACCTTTTCCTCGTCAAGCCACATTCGTGACATCGTTATTGAAGGTGTTTGTACCACTGGATCTACACTCAAGTCTACAATTATACTTTAAGCAGAAGAGTTTGTAGCGGAGTGGTTCAAGAAAGTTAGAGGTATACCAGAAGATATACTTTTTGAATGCTCACATAATGGCTAGACCGATAAGAAAATGGCAATAGAGTATTTGAGACAAAACTTTAGAAAAGACAGTATTACAAAACAGAAAGCGAGAGACGAGTATCAACTTCTACTAGTTGATAGACATAGCAGCCATGTCAATATACCATTTCTTGACTTCTGCATTTCACAAAAGATCATTTCCTATTACCTACCTCCCCATACAACTCATCAATTGTAGCTATTAGATGTTTGCATTTTTAGTCACTATAAATACCAGTATCAAAAGGAACTAACATGCTACTTTGAAAGACATGAATACAGAATGTCAAAAGGGAATTTTTATAAAATTCTCATAGTTACCTGCAGAGCTTCCTTCACATCAAGTAATATTCAAAGTGGATTCCACAATACTGGCCTTGTTCCTATCAACAGAGACATTATACTTGCAAAAATTCAAGTCTTGCCTTCCAAATCACCAACACTTCATTCAACTTTCACAAGTTCCAACTAACTAGACCCCAATTCTACTTCACCATTACCTAATCCCTTGAGTGCTCTCTCAGTCCAACAAATTGATGACCTTCATGTACTGCAAAACAGAATAGAAATTGAAAAACAGGAACTAATTGCACTTGCAACTCTGCTGACAAATGACCCACAGGAGTGGGGACTAAACAAAATAGTTAGCAACCTAGCCCTTACTGCAAACTGGGGACTTACTGAGATTGAAGAAAAAGAGCAGCAAATTCAGAATCTGAAACAACAGTTAGCTGATATTCATCATAAGCATAGAGTAAATTGAACAAGAATACCTACCTTGGGAAAGGCTTGGATAGATTGAGATAATATTGCCTACTTTTTTGAATCTCAATCAACAGAGGAGCGTAAGGCAGCTAAGTGGAAGTACAATCATGCGACAAGCTTGGTTGCTGTAAGAAGTAAGAAGTTAGCTGAATATATTGAGAAAAGAAAAGAGACAGAGAAGTTAGAAGAGGAAGGAAAGTTACCTAAGCACCGTAAGACAAGTGCTACCCTGTGAGAGGAGGAAGGCCATCTTACACATCAGATATCTGAGGTGGAGCAGAAGGTTGAGAAATTTCACAAACACTATCAAGATTTGGCCTTTAATGTGGAAGCTGAAAGTGAAGATTTTCTTGGAGGTCCTGAAGTGGAAATCGTCGGTGGCTTTGAGGCAGAAGGAGCAGAAAATTTGGGGAAGGAAGCAGGGGCTGATGGAGCCCCTGCTCCAAGAGATATGTCTTTGAATCTGCCGCTTGATTTGTAGTTTAAACTTCAGGAGTAGACAAGCACTCCTGAGGTGGTTGTAATGTTGGTTGTTATGTGGAGAGAAGAAAAGAGAGAAAAATAATAAAATAAAGGCCCTTGTCCATATCAGGTAGAATCACATGCACCATCCATGCCAAGACATGCCACGCCTCGCTGAGGGGTCTGGCGGTTTATGGAGGCATTTGCTGTGCTTGGAGCACAGCTACGTTCCTCACTTTTGTTGTATTGGTTGTTGTCGAGTTGATCCGAAGTGCCTAGAACCACACAAGTATGATGCTACTATTTTATACCCACTATAAAGTTGGTGACCAGTGATCAAGTTTAACCTGCAGCATAATCCCTGTTCCGGACGAAAACACCCTCTGGCACTTGTACTCGTACCTGCGTCGTACAACGAATGTCTCGGATTGAACAGCGTCTTGCTACGCCACTTGTAATACCTGTAGATAATGTGGCCTTTCCTGCTTTATTCAAAGTTCACAGGTGCATTCCATAACTTTGCCCTGGGTTGAGAAATTGTCCCAACTAAGAGTCCTATCAACGGAACAACAATCCCCCAACTTTTCTTTTTTTTTTTATGATGTGATGCATATTTCTTTGTCTGCCATTATGCTTGAGCAGCCGTTGCTTTGGTCCCGGACAGGGAGCCCAAGCCCAGCGTTGTACTTGTAGGGCCATATGCATCACCCGTCTCACTAAACCCGAATGAACTTAGGTTAGCAACAACAAACAACGTGCCACTATTGGATCCCGCCCGACTTAAGCCTCAACACCCCCTCCAACCTAACTACCATATCTCCTCCGCATCCAAAGGAAGGATAACGCCAGCCACTGATACGCCTCTCATAGCACTACCCCACGCATCTCAATCGGTTCATTTTTCTTTCCATCATACCCAGACTCCACCTGAAACTGTATATTCAAATCTCTGATTATTGTTATCTCCTATCCGACTTAAAGTGACACATTTCCCACGTTTCTCATCCCCTTTTCTTCCTCCTTGTCCGATGGAAATCGTGAATCCCGAAGAGTACGAGGCGTCCCATGTTCATCGAGTGTATGAGAATATCGCACCTCATTTCTCCGCTACCCGTTTCAAGGTACATATTTATTTATTTTCCCATAGTCCCTCCAGCCCCTTCATTTCTATAGGGCCTATAAGGCATTGGGGTATGGGTTATCGATTTATTTTCCAATAGTTTTCTCTTTGCTCACTGGTGTGACTTTAGCCCTGGCCGATTGTGGAGAGGTTTCTCTGTGATCTGCCGATCGGTGCTGTGGGTTTGGACGTAGGGTGCGGAAACGGGAAGTACTTGATGGTCAATCCGAATGTCTTCATAGTTGGTTCAGACAGGTCAGTTGTCAAGTGCGAAAAACCTCCCACTTCCCTTTTTCTTCTCTTCCAATCCTATTCTATTCCATCACTGCAAGGATGTCTGTCTTCTGTGATACCGGTCTGAACTTAACTGACCGCTGTTATTGGGCCCCCTAGGTCGCCATCTCTTATTGGGATAGCTCATGGCCGGGAAATACAGGATTCAATTGTGGCTGATGCTTTGGATCTCCCGCACCCCGACTCTCGTTTTGACTTCGCTATCAGTATAGCGGTCATACACCATTTCTCCTCGCTGGAGAGAAGACGTCACGCGCTCAAGAGCATCCTTGCTACCTTGAAGGCGCCCAACAATAACACTAATGGTGGGAGGGCTCTTATCTACGTATGGGCCTTAGAGCAAAAGAATTCCAGGAGAGGCTGGGATGAGGGGGATCGGCAAGACGTCTTTGTGCCCTGGGTTATGTCCAAGCAGTTCTCCAGTGCGAAGGCCGAAGGCAGCCATCAGAATCCTCAAGTTTTAGATCCCTGTAAAGATACACCTGATGACAAGGGCCGAGATGCGACGAATGGTGGGGGAGTTGGACAGGAGGAGATGGGTGAGGAGAAGAGCAGGGATGAGAAGCTCACGTATCTGCGATATTATCATCTCTATCGTAAGGGAGAATTGGAAACTGACATCGCCCGTGCCGGAGGCAAGCTCCTAGAATCAGGTTATGAGAAAGACAATTGGTGGGCAATATGCAGTCCTGCCAGGTGATGGGTGGAGGGGGAGGGTGAGAGGTGGGAGGTGGGATGTAGCAATGAGTCTACGTGTGCACGACATTTAAAATCTGTCATAGCGCGCCCACTCAAGGGTCGGTTGTTTCCAACGCTTCTGCCTCTTGCCTCAATGGTGTGAAAGCCCTCAAGACTGTTTCAAATGCGGCCTGGAGAAAGAAACAAAAAAGAGAATATGAGGAGAGAAGGAAGCCTGTACGGCAAAGCAGTAATAGTTCACCCAAACAATAGTCAAATCATATACTGGCTTAGATTCCAGTCTTGTTCGGGCGTTTCTATTGGGGGTCGAGCTTTTGTGCCTCATTTAACATTTAAAATGCGCGCGGCCCGCGATATATTTTTCTAAAGACAGAAATATCATATCAACCAATCCTGGTTTGTTTGTTTTTCTTTCTTTCTTTTTTTTTTTTTTTTTGCCAGTTGTTTGATTGCTGAACCTAACCTGCCATACTAGGTCCAGGCCTTGAAAAAAAACTAGGTTTTGACCAAAGCAAAATTCGTATCATATCCCACCATAAAAATATTTTAGGCCCGAACAGATGGAGAGGCAAGGCAGACAGACAAATTTATAGAAAGGGGAAAAAGAAAAGAACAAATCTCGCTCATCTCTACTCTACTCTATGCCATACTCCTTGTTTGTTTGTTTTTGATGCCTCATAGAAAGGAAAACATGCCAATGCTGATGCGTAAAAAAGAAAAAGAAAGAAATCTGTAGTGACTCGGAGATCCCCCCAAACGATTTATAATAAAACCAAACAGAAAACAACAAACAAAAGAGAAAAGAGAAACAAGAAAGAAGCCAAAAACTCACCAATATGATTTCGCCTTAGATTCCTGTTGCCGCCCGGTCCACCATTCCCCAATGTACCATGAAATTTATGACAAAAGAAATGAAAGAGAACCAATGAAGAAAGAAAGAACCAAGTCAGACCATTATGACCCTATTTCAAGAAACAATCTAGCAGGGATGGAAAAGAGAATCAAAATAAGGGAACGCAAGAAACCGGGAGAACCGAAAATGAGAACAATCTAGTGCAACAGAATATTTCCAAAAGAAAGAAGAAAAACACCCACCGGAGACTCCCGAATGAACTCACCATTATCCCCACGCATTGCCGTTACCGTGCGGCCAGCGTCATCCGGAAATTATTATTATTATTATCACGCAGCACCCTGGCTCTCTGGTGCGGAGCCCGCCTCCGTTGGGGGTGCCGACGGCCCGGTAGCGGAGTTATTCGTGCTCCCGGAATTCTGGCCCTTACGTCCGGTCGTTCCCACGTTACCAGTTCTCTTTGGCTGAGCGTCGAGGGCGATGTTGCTGAGGGAGAAGGGAACGACGCCAGCCCGACGAGCCATTTCCCGTTCTCCAAGTTGCCAATGCATGGCCTCAGCAGCTCTCCAGGGGATCTCCATCTCTCTGGCTACCAGGGCCCACATATCTGCCTTGAACCTGTCGCTTGCCCACTTGCTTGTTAGCGGCTATATCATGGATGTTCCGGGCGTTGCTTTCGAAGATTTGAGAGGGATCTTTGATTGGTATGGGAAGGGAAGGAAGGGAGGGAGGGGGGGAATGAGTAAAGTTGGGCATATGTACTCGTGCGGCCGAATTGGAGCCGGACACTTTGTATAGGAATTGTCACCTCAGGTGTCCGTCTTCAACTCGACCGCGTGAGCATACATATATGCTTGCCCATCCCGGTAGTATCCGGAAATCTTGGCGTTCCCTCTGGCCTGAACCATGCCAAGACTTCCAGACATCTCTATTTGTTTTTTTTTAAATCCTTCAATTGACAATTCTGGATACTTTTGGAATGGGCAAGTATATACAGTATAATACATAATATATTATACAAGCGCCCTGGGATACGTTTTCGTATCCACCAAAGTTTGGTGTGCCAGTGTACGAAACTAGCCTCGGAGTACTTGTATATATATTATACATATACACGCCCACGCATACGTATATGTTTATGTGCGTACCTCTCATACAAGCGGGCAAGCCTGTCCTTGCGCTCCTCGTCCCATTCCGGTCTCCTCTCGAGGTAGTTCTGGTAATGCAAACGACAGGAAATTGCCGAGCGTCCTGGAAGCTCCCGGCTAATATCCTCCCATTTGTGGCCTCTGCCCCTCAGGTCAATGATTTTGGCATCCTCATCTGCGCTCCATTTGCTCTGTTTTTTGGCCGGTGACGTCTGCGCTACATCCGACAGGGGCCGTTTCGTCGAGGGTGAGGGGGGTGGAGGAGGGAGTGTATCCTTCTGCTTGGGAGGCATTGGAGAAAGAAGGAAAGCAATGGATGCCAGCGAGAAGGCTTGACTTTGCAAGTACGCTTGGCTCGCCTACGCGGTGGCTTGGCAGTGACGATGCAAGGACAGGGTAGTGGTAGTTGTGGTAGCTCGTCGTTGGTAGGTGCGGTGATAGTAGAGGTGAAGGCGGTCAAGATTCGAAGGATTGTTGTTCCCTTACTGACTTGGAGCAACGAGAGATAGTGAAAAGAGATGGTAGCGGATGAGAGTGAATCGCTTGAGATGAGATGATGTGTGGTTGCTGCGGGCTTTATGGGGGGGGGGGAGGCTTTGTAGGCTTTGTATTAGAAGCAAACGGGAGGCGCGTCTGAAGGTCGCTGAGAGCGACGGTTTATTCAGAAGGCACGTCCCGTGATTGGGCGGCCCCTCATTAGCATCTGAAGATGGCTAGGCTATCACAGGAGCAGCAGCGGGATGCTTGGTGAGAAGAAGGGTTGAGCAAGCTCCCTCTCCCGGGAGTGACAAGGATTCAAACCTCCATCGGATTTTTTGGCTGGCGAGGTGGTGTGCAGTAGATGCTGTGAGGTCCTGAGTCAGTTTTCTTCCTATGGATACTCTACAATAGTTCGCCTTTGGTACGAGTATGTGAGCGGTTTTCCCTGGGCGTAAAAGAAGCCTCCAATTGGCGAGTGTAAACCAGCATCATATAAGCCATTCGGGAGGGTTTAGGGGCTTTTCTCGCTCCCTCCTTTTCTTCTTCCTAGACAGGAAGCCTAGCTAGGTGGGGGGGCAGTGGGAGATGTCCTGATTGAGTTCAGTGTCTAAATGACTTAGAATTGGTGATTATGGTAACCAATTGTCGAAATCCGCCACTTCTTTTCACGACTTCAGGGGCATGGAAAGTGACGTATAGCAACCAGGGGTTCTGGCTGGCCCTCTTTCCAAAGGAAAAAATACTCAAGTGCGCCCCAGGCTGTTTGGCGAATTGTTCTCCTCCTCCCATTCTGGTTGCCTGGGCAGTAGCAGGAAGGGGACACGGAAAGCAAGCATGGGGAGAACGCTCTGATTGTATGATACTGGGTCACTTACCAGATCAGTTAGCGCCCAATGTTTTTTTGATCCCGGTACACTATGATGGCCCGAGATTCGTGTTGCACCTGTTTCATTTCCAGGTTAATCCTTTGAATGGGGGCAGCTGACGGTCTAACGGAAGCTTGGGGTAAGCGTCAGTACTACTATACGATATATTATTATAACCACTAGAAGGCACAGGACAGTACCACAAAGGGAGAGTCGTGCAAGAGAGATGCGATGAACGGCTGACCCATGCACACAACAGGAAATAGGCTCAAGAAGGTTTTCCATGCAAACTACCATTTCCTAAAGCACTCAGGCAGGATGAGCTAGAATTTCGAGAGGAAAGGGAGGAAAACAAGAATAACAGCAACTACCATACCGGTACTGATAGAGCGTCATTGAACATTGGTCCATGCCTAGACAGCATTCTAGAAACAATGGAAAGGGAAGAGGGAGAAATTTTTTAAGAAAAGCTATCATACCCCTCCCTAGTGATGGTCACGGAGAAGGACTCCCTGGGGAGGTTTTTTTCTATTTGCTACAGTGCATCAGCCATTAGTTGCATTCCTCAAGTCAGCGAAGCAAGTTTTACGGCAGCAGAAGAGTCAGCCCGATACCGGTGGCGCGCTCGGTTCAGTTAGAGTCAGTAGGATATCTTCTCCACCCCCCTTCCCACCCCACCTCTGCTCTTCCCCTCCACTGCCCGCGCCACTACACATTGACATTTCCACGGGTTGACCCTGTTCACCAGAACCACAACCAAGTTATACCACTACGAGTATACCAGTACATACGCCACTATAAACTATAAAAAAAAACCCCCAATGAATCGGGAGACACAGAGAGAATGCCTGCGGTAGTACTCGTACCGTGATAACTCACCACCATTTGCACCTCCCGCTTGATCTCGATCTCTGTAACGCGCAATCTATTCTCTACTTTTTTCCTTTTTTCCTTTTTCCTTTCATTCTTTCCTCCTGCAAAAGGCCCTAGCCCGTATTCTTTCCATTGTGGAATGGACGAGTGAATGGGCGAATGTAATAGTACGTATGTAGTCCCACGTACCCCAATTAATTCTTACAAGGGGTAACCAGGCTTTTGGCCCCCAAAAAGCAAAATAAGACAGAGAAACACATGATAAGGAGGGAGGTATTATAAATTGGGAAATTTTAAATGCAGCAATATAAACGATCGGCCCAGGGACTGTTCCGGTCAAGCTTCTAGAAGGTTTAAAAAAATTTTGAAGGAACAAAAATGGTGGTAGGGGCTTTTTTCTTTTTCTCTTTTAATTTTTTTTTTTTGCTGCAGACTACCCTGTCCATTTTTACTAAGAGCCAGTCTTGTGGGAAGTCGATCCATAGGGTTGGACGGTGGTACTGTACCTTACATCAATTGTTCCATGGAACTTCCAGGATAAAACGGATGGTGTACCGTATCATAATTGTATTTGGGATGGCGATAGTGTCATACCGGCAGCACTGGTTCCGTTCTCTTTTCCCTGAGTTAATTTATTGTACAGTACGTATGATACTGTACGAGTACTCGCACCTCTTGTATCATAACATATCATAACATATCATACTTACTCCCTTCTTCCCTCTCCCCTCTCCCCTAACTCCCCCGCCCCCACTACGGGTATCTCTCCCTTCCCTTGACCCTACCATTCCACGCGTGACACCTAGGGGTCCGGCGGCGGGGGCAAGTCACCGATCCTCACACCCCCCTACCCCTCTATCAGGCCTTTTATTTATAAATATCACACTTATTCAATTTCATAACTTTCTGTTTGCTCTAATTCTGCTTCTTGCCCTTCGCGGGTTCTCCGTTCATTCGCTTTCATCTGATTTTCCATTTTAATAACCCAAAAAATTGGCATTCCCCCCCCCTTCCCGCTGCACTCTCTCCCCGTCGGTAACGTATGTGGTCCACCTAATCTGATTGGCACTCTAATAACAGGGTTATATCCCCGCTTGTTATTATAAAGTCCTGTACTTACCCTTTCTTAAAGCATTTCTTTTTTCTTTTTTGGACAGTACCTGGCCCCCGCAGAAGCAACAGCCGTGGCACAAGTTAGGCAAGTAACCATTGTACAAGTGTGTAGTTTAGGCATAAATGCATCTTATATATGTATTGTACCCCGGTGAATGAACGGAAGCGAATAAGAAGAACCCTCTTGGGGCTTGGCATTGATACAATTGTTGTTATACGTCAGTGTCGATGGACCAGCTAGCTAGCTGTCTATCTACTGGTATCAGTTGGATTTCACTTTACGCAGAGAAATCGCTCTTATGTGCATTAGCATCGCTGGCTCTCCCGCCTATGATATGATACTTATCATGCCGTTGGGAACTTTGTAAATTCTGACAGGTTAAATATATGTATGTACTTTTAGATGCATTACATCCCATTGTATGATTGTACTAGTACACTTGTACTCGAGTACACCACCACCCCGCCCCACCTCTCTTCACAATCACAATCCTTCCCCCCCCCCAATCCCCGAAACCCCATACTTCCAGACCTGCGGGCGGTGCTACTGGAAGGCAATTTAGGAATGATCAAATGCCTCCAAAACATCTAACACGAGCGAGTGGGCAAAGACGGGTCAGGGGCCGGAAGAGATTCAGTTAATTTTTAGTCCCTTCTAGTTCTTTCCACCATCCCCGCTCGTTCATGATGAGATGTGCTACACACATAAGGCCCAAGGCAGGTAAGGCGGCGTCAAAGGTTGAGGTTGATTGGGTCCACAAAAGTGCAGATTTCGCTTTGCGGTTTCCGGTAGATTTAGAAAACCCTTTTTTTTCCTTCACCCCACCCTCGTCTAGTATCTTTACTTTTTCCTATGATACTTCAATTCCTTACCGGTACGAGTTTGCAGTACTCTTGGCTTGTTCCGATACCGTGAAAACCCTTGAAATCCACTATCAGATCATCAGCAGGCTCGGCGCGTCAACCCGAGATAGGTTTAGTTTTGGCAGGTCGATATTGTAGAATCGCGAAAACGGGTTAATAAGATCCAGCACAGGGGGTGTCTTATTTCGTGTCAATGAGACGCTAACCCTTCTCAGGATCCCCTATCTCCGGATCTGGAGATTACAGGGCTGGCGGAGATGGCGGATTCCAAGAGTTTTTACGCTATCATACCCTATCATACTTGTGCCTAGGGGAAAACTTGAGCAACAAAGTGGAAAGGAAAAAAAAATTTTAAGGTCAAAAACTTGGCATAAATAATTCCTTTTGTGATAAGTTTCTCTTTTTCCACGAGTTACATCATGGCATTTCCCGGTTGCACACAAAAGCCCCACATTGAACCTCGTACGATCGTTAAGTTACCCTCCAGGGCCCCTCTTCCCTCTCTCCCGTTCCTCGGAACAAGCTTAGCACCCTGTCCGCAATTCTCCCTCTACTACATGCCCCAAGTCACTATTCACACCCCATCCCTAGCTTCCAGTTTCTCGACAATTCTTCTTCTTCTCGACCTTTGGCCTGCCAACAGGTAACAATTGCCGGCACATTCAAGCATTAACTCAAGTGCATATACAACAAACTCAGGCACGAGCTAGGGCAAAAACTGCAACAAACGGAACACCACGGAAGAAGACAGAAACAACACTTCCTTTTTTTTCTTCTTCCCCCTCCAACGAACCGAAAAACAACCTCATCGTCACATCGCCGGTACCAGACGGCAACGAGAGACAGGGGCAACGAATATCCAGATCCAATGAGTTTTTCAACTACTGCAGATATTCCGATCAGAGTCACGTCTGATAACGCTGCTTCCGAGCGCCGTGTCACCCCCTCGTGGACCATTTCTGAGCTCAAGAATAAGCTTGAACCCGTCACTGGCATCCCTCCGCCTTCACAGCAACTCACGCTGCGCGTGCCACATGCTCCCCAGCCTATACCCATCTCGAGCCATGACGAGGAACACACGCAGATAGCAGCCTTTCCTCTTCAGCCTTACGTTGAACTACACGTATGATGGCCCTCTCCAATCCATTATGCTTTTTTCCCACTTCCCACTTGCCGATCCGCCACCTTTGAGAGGTATTCTAGTTGCTCCCTCCTTTTTCGATGCTACCCTGCTACCCTGCGTCTGCCGAGTATAACCTCGCGGACGCACTGCATATTTTTCTCGTCTACACTTTCCATCCCAATCGCCCATAGTTGCTTTTTTTTTTATCCCTCTACTTTTCACACAAGATCTTATCCATTCTTTTGCTTTTTCCCTTACTCCCACGACTGCCCCCTGACCGTAACCACTTATTTTTCGATTTTTCCTTGACTATCTGCTACTTTGTCTTGTGCACGGTGTTCCTTTTTATACGCCGAAAAGAAAAAGGCACCTCACTCCGGTTGTCACGCAACCTACTACCCTTGCTTCCCGTTGTCTCAGAAGGAGAGAAAAATGAGAAATGGAGCCAACGGGACAGATGGGAAAAGCAAACATTCCGATTTGGCGCGCCGTTTTCTGACATTTGTTTCATATATACGCCAATAGGTTGCGGATTCGCGTCCGCTCGCAGCTCGCCCCAATTTCGTGGATACTACTAGCATTGAGAAGTATGTGATGCCGGAGGAGGAGTACGATAAGCTCCAGGACAGCGTCCTTGCTTGGAAGAAGCGAAATAAGCTCGGCCGGTTCGACCCGGATAAGGAGGAGAAGGATCGGATGGAGCTGAGGAGGCAGTATGACGAGGTGGGCGCTAGAAAGATAGTGGTAGGTGCTAGATGTCGGGTTGGAGCATCGGATCTAGATCGCAGAGGTACGATCAGGTACGTTGGGGAGGTCAATGAGATTCCTAATGGTGGAGTATGGGTTGGCGTAGAGACAGACGAGCCAACAGGTAAATACAAATTCCCCTTCTTCCTCTCTTTCCCCCTCAGTTTTCTAGTGCCACATCCACACAACATGGGAGAAAAGTGGGACACGCGCACATTATTTCCTTCTAGAAGTTGACTTTGTTTCCGTGTCGCAGGGAGGAACGACGGATCTATCCAGGGCAAGTTCTACTTCAAGTGCGAGGCCAAGCATGGGTCCTTTGTGAGACCTGATCGCATTGAGGTTGGGGATTTTCCTGTGATTGACGATCTGGACGGTCTGGAGGAGATATAACACTCCAAATGGTATAGATTTAATTAAACGCGTGCTAGCCTTTTTCCATTGCACGGCGTAGCAAATATCACTATCAAAATAAGATAAAAAAACACTCCACAGGATGCCTACTCGTACCGTAAGGGCTTGCGGGCGCTGCAACTTTTTGGGGTGTGCTTCTTGGGATGGCGTCGCGGTGTTCGGTGTTCGGTGTCTGGTATGCACAGGGTGTATATTATCCTTTCGGTACCTTGTTTTATCCCACCCAGATGTGGGGCCTGACGTCTGTTATTTGGTACTCGTAACAGGGGCCAGATCACCTTGTGCCACCGGTACTATATACCGGCACTGCCGTAGAATCTCGTGAAAATTCACCATTTCCGTTAGCCGGATCCCGTGACAAAATCTCCCAAGAAAGATTAGCGTTTTCCTGACACGGCACAAGACCAGCGCTCAGAAGGTGTTGGACCCGGTATTCGCTGATTCTGTTATTGTACTCGTAACCTGTCAAACCAAACCTATCCTGGGCTGGAGAAGATGGTTGATTGCACGAGATTTTACGGTACTTGTATACTAGGTACCGGTACCCGAGTACGAGTAAAGCCGGCCCGGTCGAGTTCCGGTAGTTCACACGCGACTCGCCTGTCGCAGGTCAGTCACGATGCCCGTATCACGTCATGTCATACAGTACCGGTGCTATATGCGATTGCGGTCTAAAAAACGGGCGTAGGGATTGTATGTAATTCGGAACGAGGGCGAGTGGAGTTCGGTCGGAGGGAGTCAAGACATTTTATCCTACTGTACCGGCAAGGGGAGGGAATCGGTTACAAGTATCTAGCTGTAGTTTCTCCCCTCTCTCTCCTCTCTCCTCTCCATCGTACTCGTACTCGGGTATGGATGTGGGGTGACGGGAAAGCCAGGGATTAGGGGGGTATCGAAGCTTCTAGTAATTTCCATGCCAAACCCATCCATCCTCTTACGGTATTTCTTGTGAGGGTGCAGTCCATAGAAGGGTCAGACCCCCGGAATCCCTGGCTGCCCGGTCACCCACGCCCAAGGGCGAGCACGAACGATACCCACAAACTCCCCTTTGCTCCAGCCCGATAGTACTCGAACCGGAGTGCGCTCTCATCACTGGGATACACAGTACTGTACTAGTACAAAGCGCCTTTAAGCCTCATCAAACACCCCTACATGTGGCACCAGGGACAAATATGGGCTGGTGTTGTACTCGAGCACTCGCACTCGACGTCTCGGAGCGTGAGTTACGAGGCGGTGTCCCCGGGTTACGGTAGTTCCATCAAAAATGCAGCGCCGTGAAGCTATCGATATTCATAAGCGGATCATCCAACATATCCGTTTCCCATTCCGGAGAATTTTTAAAGAGGGTCGAGCACCTCGCTCCCATGGCTTGATTGGCCCAAATCGGGGTCGAATCGTGGGGTAAGCATGGCCCAGCCACTCATCGCCAAATCTTGGTCCGGTACTCTAGTACTGTACTCGCGCGGCCGAATTGAAGCCGGTCACCCTCATGGAGTAGTTATCTGCGAGCCAATAAACGCGTACTGTACTAGCAGTGATCTAGAGGATGCCAAGATGAGTCGTGTGGCAGGATATACTCGAGCGCCAGAGGATAGGTCGGCTTTGTGAATAATCCGTCGGTCCGTCGATATCTCCTGTTACATCTCCAATTCTACGCTCCAGAGCTATTCCTATACTGTAAGCGACAGGACGCCAGCATCACATACAGGAGGGGCCGGAATGGTCTCCTGGAGGGAGCAGCAACTCTAACGCTCAGGTGGCACGAAAATATGTCATATCAGACCTATGCGGGTGGCTGTCGCCCATACACGAAATCTCCATGTACCCTTACCGGTACTTGGGGATCCGTAATATGTTTCGGCGCACCGACTTCGATCCGGCCGCGCGAGCGCTGTGCTTGTACTCGTACAGTGCTCGTACCTGGCTCTCGCTAGATTTTGTCATCGTCGTCGTCGTACTCGAGTACCGCACCGCACCGCACCTGTACTCGAGTACTTCTAGACCCCACCTGCTCATTATTACTACCGACTGGGCTGCCAAGATTCACACTCCGAAAAGCTCCACAAATGGCCGCCATGAAACTGTAGCGCTGGTTTCTCGGCCCCGGAAGGAATTGTCCTTGTGAGGTTTCTGAGCTACATTTTTTTGTTGTGGCTTTCTCCTGATGGTTTTCTTCTTCCTTCCCCACTATGTTATGGTGAGGTGAGGTTGGATTACGGTCCTCCGGATGGCAAGCACCGGTACTGCAAGGCAATGTTGCACTCGGTGGAGGCTTGTTCCTGCTTGCCTGCTGGCTGGCTGTATGGTGGTACGGCTGCAGCTGGTGGTAATAAGGGACAGTACTGTACTGTACTCGTACTGGCACAAGTAACTACGAGTATAATACAAAGTAGGAGTTGCAAGTGGGTACGGCGGTAGTCTACGCTACCGTTGCGATACGCGCCGGTAATTTAGTACTCAAGTAAGTAAAGAGTAGTTTGTAGTCTGGTTAGAAAAAGGAATTATAGTGAACCGCCCGGGATGTGCTCGCTTAAAGAAAGTCCATCCATCATGATCCATCACCAACCGCTACCATCATCTTCACCTCCGAACACCCCCGGCCGGCCCCCTTCCCCCCCATCCCATCTCATCCTACCCTCACTCCATGCTACACTACCCATCCCCATCCGCCATCTCATCCGTCCATCACAAAGCTTTGCAACAAACGACGGCGCTAGTATACTATCTATACTTATCACGAGAAAGAAAAGAGACAAAAAAATCCCTAACCGAAGCTACGCGGCGCGCAGTCACTGCCGTATCATACATCAGCCACGTCAAAAAAAGAAAAGAAACTGTCAGCTAATGACGTCGAATAGCTCCCGGAATAAATACCGTACCGGTATTCCCCCCTTCCTTCTCAAAGTGAAAACGATACCCTACGAGTAACCTGAGAAAGGAAGCGAGAGTGTGTGAGAGAAGGTTTTCGGATTGTAGCGGAATGAGGGGACGTTCTGTCTGTCTGTCAGGAAAATCAGTCAGTCAGTCTGTTAGTCTACCAAGCCCGGTACCGGTACTTGGTCGACTTGTCCACTGACTTACTTCACATGTTCCACATGTCACGTTTCAGGTTATTTTTTTTCTTCTGCACTCTACTGATTCATTATTTGGTGGCGCTTGATTGGATGAATGGCCGGACTCGGTTTAGCTTAGTAGTTAAGGAAGCGACCGGATAGGTTACTCGATTTGGGTGGGTTAAAGTGCGTGTAGCTGGGGTTGGGAGGTGCAGCCAGTGGACTTGGTAGGGCACTGCGAGATTTGTAAAGGTTTTTTTTTGGTGGAGAAGTGTGGACAAGGAGAGGGAGAGGTGCAGTCTCTTGGGGTGCTTTTGGAGGAGAAAGAGTTGGAGGGAATCAAGTTATCATACTAAGAAAGAGATGGGCAGGTTATGGTGCGGTGGGTCAGGCTATAGGTGAGTTGCCAACTGGAAGTATACACGAGTACCGGTATACTGACAGGCAGGCAATAACTCACGATGCGCTATTCAGACACAGCGCATCGTACTGGGTTGTCTGAGTATGGGTAGCAATACTGCATGGTTATGGTGACAGATGCACTCGATTCATTCACCATTGGACCAGAGCTGGACGGGATCGTTATGCCTCAGCCCGTTGTCGTTGCGTTGTTATTAGCAGAATAGTGGGGTTGGTGGTGCTACTTACTATACTTACGCAGTGGGAAACTTCCGTTCCTCTCGTTGCAAGTGCAAGCAAAACAAACTACGACAACGACTATGACCACTGTTACATTGAAATTTGTATTACATCAAAGGTGTATGATACCCGATCCTCCTCCTACAGAAACAACAAACCCACTAACTTCCTCTCCATATCCTTCTCCCACCTTATCCGGTCCCTCTTTTCACCATCAGCACCATCATCACCATCACCAACATCACCTCTCTTCACTCCAGCCACCTGACCACGGCGGAGAGACAAAATTCACCAACCAGATGGATGGGTAACTAGGGAATCGGAAAGAAGGAAGGCAAAAAAAAAAAAAAAAAAAAGAGAGGGAGAGGGATTCACAGTTACTCGAGTACAGCACAACTGTCCGTGATGCTAACGCACAAGGTAGGTTCAGAGCGGCAGTTTACGGCTTTCCGTCATCGGTCGAGACTCAAGACTCGGGGAGGGTGGATACCATTCGTGCTGGACCAGTCTTTTTCTTTTTTTTCTCCCTCTTACTGACTGACGGTTGATGACAGGTACCGATATTATCAGTCGTGATACCGCATTTTCCTCTCTCTTCCCTCCCCCCACACACCCCTTTCGCTCCCTCAACAACCTTCATCTAGTTATCTAGACCTTTTACATTTTTTGTCTTATTTTGAAACACGATACGCGGGTTACCTCTTTATCATCTGAAGCTCGGGAGTTCCTTTCCTGCCTTCTGCCTCATACACCTGGGTTCTCGAGCGAGAGAGCGAAAGGGACCAGGGTGCGGCAGTTTGTTCGGAAAGGACGAAAATAAAAAAAGAATCATACTCAATTACTTTGCAGCTCTTCAAACATTCCCCCTACTTTCTCACCCCCCCCCCTTCCCCCGTTACCTGGCTGCCTGCTTTGTGTGCCTCCATTTTGCGCCAGATATCTGTCGTTGACCCATGTTGGTTCTTCCCTTTCCTAAGAGGTGTATCGTCGACGACGACACGATATGATACACCTCGGGGCAATCGCAGCCTCCATTGATCAGCACACATCCCATCCCGTCGTTGCCTTCGCCTGACCTTGCCTTCTCATTAGACTGCTAGCAGCAGCAGCAGCACGCGGTGAAATTTCCACATGCAGAAAAACATTCCCGCAGACCTATCCACACCCTCCACAATCCCCACCCCCTTCCAAACCCCCACCTCAGCTCTTTACCCTGGCCTCACAGATCTCAGGAATATCACTGTGTTGGTTCCAAGGAACCTTTGGGAGCTGAGATTGCCGAAGGTGATTGCTACTGGAAAACAGGGCAGGGCACAACAGGGTAATAGTGTGTAGCTTCCCTGGTCTGGGGGTGTGGGAGGCACTGTGCGGGCAAACCAAATTAGACGGTTAGTGAGATGTCTCGTGATCAGCGAGTGATTTCACCGCTGAGAATGCGATTGTGGCAAAGCATCCTATATCCTAAATGTGACGCCCCTGTCGTGGCCAAGCTCATGGCCGAGCTAGTGGCAGAGGAGGCCCAGCATTGGAAGAAGGAGTTCAAGCTCTCGAGCCCAAAATCGCTCAACTGAACTATTCCCAACAACTCGCTAGAAATGAGATGGGATTCGTACGCTCAATAGGTAAGAGCTGAGGGGGGGGGGGAAGATCCCACTAACCGATCCGATACTTTCACCTACCAAGAAACCAGGGATACGAGATCCTACCCACCCCATCATGGAAAATATCCACCTAATTTCTCGCCGTCCTTTATTCTTTCATTCCTAGCTTTTTGCGGATCGAACTACAGTTATTGGTGGGCTTCCTTGACAAGGTCAGGCATGACCTTTTCATACGCCCTCACTCACGTCCCAATTATCGCAACTTCACCTCCGATAGGTTCGGCGAGGTAATGACGCGATCCACCCAGTCCTAGAGCGTAGTGCCATATCAGCCCTAGCTGGATGCGGTGAAGTGGAGCATTAGGAGTGGAAGGAGCTCATGTCACGCACGTACGCATGCAAGCGCCCCGCTCCCTTGACCCGGGAAAAGGCAAAGACGACGAACCAGATGTTTTCATATAGCAACACTGCGGGGATAAACTTCTTGCGCCGTGAATGCTGCAGGGATGGAGACGGAGGACGGGGTAATGACAGGATGAGCAGGGAGGGAGGCGGCGGGAACTAGAGAGCAACAGAGCGAGACCAACCAAGCAAATTAACCAACTAGGGTGATTTGAGCAAATGAATAAATGGGTGGATGGATTTGCAAATGGCCCGAGCGCGGATCATGCTCGTCCTTCTTTCCTTCCTCCCCTCCATTCTATCCTCGGGGGCGGGACGGGAGTGAGAAAGATGCGATGGCGCGGGAAATTGGGATGAGCATGGAATTGGGATGAGCGCATCCGTTGGTTCGTTGTTGCGCTGTGCAGTACCCATGTTTGCGCTCGGTAAGGTTTGCATATGATTCATTACTATATACTCGAGACATTATCCTATCATGCTCCATAGAGGCACAAGGGGAAAGAAAGGAATGGGAGGGAGGGAGGGCACAGCGGAAAGGAAGGGCTCCCTGTCTAGCAAGCCTAGCCCGGCCTAACCTAGCCTAGCAACAGTTGGTTGTTTTGCTCTGCTGACTGGATGTATCAAAGAATATTCGGATAGAAGTAAGGGAGGGAAGATAAGGGGAGGGTGCAGTTATCGTAAGTGAGATGTCATATTATGTCGAATTAAACTATGAACCCGAATTTTTGCCATGGTATCTACGGTGCTTTGGGATAGTGTATCTCAGGATGGCGTGGGAAATGCGAGAGAGAAGGAAGCTGGTACCTGATGTACAACGCCCACCGTGACAGCTTGCCGTACCGCAACTCCCTCCCCCACTCGTCCACTCCCCAGAAATGAACAGATGAATGATTGAGTGAGAAAAACCCCTCATGCTCAATTAACCTTACCATGTTATCCTGGCTCAAATGCTGTCATCATAGCGACTCGTAGCAAGCGGGAAGTATTCGATAATACGAGTCCAGATTCTGTATTACGTGCGGGTCTTTTGCTATATATTTTTCAAATCCCCGTTTCCGGATACCTCTTGCCCGCTACGAGTACTTGCTATATAAGCAACATGAACCCGAGTATTCGACTTCGAATTTTGTATTGGCCTACCGGTGCGCACAGACAATTAGGCATACATCTGTTCACTCCCTGTGCTCGGGAAACTTGTTGTCTGTGACAAGCATCCAGCTGACAGGTCCTGACAAAGAGCATATACCCCCGTAACAAATCCATTCGCAAGATTCTTACCCCCTGCACAGTTTATCATATGATAGGGAGAAGAAGAGAAAAAGGAAGAAAAAATGTAAGAAAAAAGAGAAAAAGAAAAAATCTCAAGCAGGGAAGATGATATATATCTTCTATGTACCACTCATAAGAGCCCGGTATGACCACGCAATACGGAGTGAGTCAAAACCATCCGTCCAGAGGGGATGCAGAGACGAAAACGGGACCGGATATAACATCCCTTTGCCCGGACCCCCGAGGGTGAACGAGTGGCGAGAAATGGAGAAAGATTGAATAAAATGGAATAGAATAAGACAAACGAGCAGCTTATCTATGGTGGGTTGGCGTGTGGTGGGATAGGTCACCATCCGACACGATTTGCTCCCCTTCCAAGGAATGGTCCGGGTGCCATCCCCGAGTGATGAATTGTGATTGTACATGTTGTGTTTCCCTCCCTCCTTTTTCTTCCCCTACCAGCGCACGATATACGTCGGACCAGGTATGGAAAGTATACGTATCGCCTTCCGCGCGCGCAACGAACTCCAATATAGAGGGGTGGACCACCGTCCCGCTCTCCCCGGGAAATCGGTCTTTGCCCGCGAGAAGGGAGCTAGCTACTATAGCTACGATAGCTATAGTAGCTAGCTAGGCACCGGTACTGGCAAATTCTGTTTGCAAGCGGGTAAAAAAAAAAAAAAAAAAAAAAAAGCGGCAAGTGCCGTTCGTAGAGTTCTTGAAAATAATTATCATTATTACGATAAGGTACTATACTTTCCGCGGTGGGTGGATGGGTTCTTCTTCCCCCCGTTTGCTTTATCCGGGTGTCTGTCTGGTTCTGGTCCTGGTTCTGGTTCTTTCCGGCGGGAAGGATTCTTGAGAACATGTGCTATTGTAGATCTTCTTCTCCCCCACCCTTCCCCTTTTGTTCCCGATAAGCGGTTGTTACGGATTACGATACAGGTTTATCATACAACGAGCATGGCCGCACACCCGCTCCTTCCCCGCCCCCCCCGAGATATGATATTCTCTCTCCCCTTCATTGCATTGTTCACTCCATCCTATTCTATTCTTATTGTTCTCCTAGAGCGGTGATTGTGGTTTACTGAACTGGCTGGCTGGCCGGCTGGCTGGCTGATTGACTGAATGGTCGGTACGATGTGATCCGGGATGGGCTTGGAGGGAGGGGGGAGATATATACACACCCGTATCCATTTTTTTTATTTTTTTTATTTTTTTTACCCAAGAGGCAGTTCTTTGTCCAGCAGGTGACTTCGAAGCGTCCTTTCCGCCGCCCATCTCACCCCGTCCGTGTATATGAACGAATTATCACTCGTTCTGCTGATCACAACTTGTCACTCGGGTGGATTGCTTTTGTCCGTGTCGGTTTTGTGAAAGCCCTATAGTATGAATTTATGATACAGTTATGGTACACGCTAGCTGAGGTGTGATAGCGGTAGAGGTGTGAAATCGGGGGGCTTTTGCTGCGCGCGTTGGAGGTCGCGGGGCGGGAAGGGTTCGAGTATCGTAGTGTGGGAGGGTGTGAGCGATGCACTTTCCGAGAGAGCGGCAAGGTGGATCCAGTAGGCAGGAAGCTGGATTTATAACTTCTCGGCATACCATTCAATCATGAGCAGAGCGAGTGGACAAACTCTAGCGCATGATCCGCACAAGCTCATAAATTTCCACACACCGTGACTGGTACTGATACTCGTGCCAAGGTTGTGGCTCAACATAACATTTTTGTGGCTCCACATTTTTTTTTTTTTTTTTGTGGCTCAAGCTTGTCCGCTTCACAGTATTTCGTAGCTTAACATACTGTTGAAGTTTAAAGAAACTGTGCAGCTCTCTATCAACTTACAGTCCGGGGTAGTTTAAGGCTTGAAGGTAATAATATTGCAGTCTAAGGTAACTAAAAGCATGAAAGGAAAAGGATGAGAAAAACAGGTACAATGAATGAGCTTGGAGCGCAAAGAAAGAGATAGAGTAGGAGCATTATAGGCTACCGTAAGATGAGATAAAATTGCACACGAAAGGTAGGTGAAATATTATAGCCTATAAAAAGAAAATATCAAAGCTTATAGTTATGACATCCTCCATCTCTGCTACAACCTCCAGTAATTGAAATTTATTTCCTGATTGGGAAGACCTCAACACCAAGGCTTTTTTATCACCACTTTTCGTGTCTGGTCCCCCTTATATATATCAAGACATTGTCCTTCTTGGATACATGTGTGCGCGCCGGTGTATGATGTGATCATACCTACAGGAGTGGTAAACAGTATATCCCCATGCGTGCGTTGGGGAGTAGTGAGAGGACCAGACGCATGCAAGAGCTAAAATTCCTATTCCTTTCACGAGATAGTGCGCGTAAAAAAACAATAATAATCGGAGAACCAAGTATGATACTCTGGAGAGCAACCGTTTCGCTTCATCCCATGTCTGCCGTGATGCGACAACCCCTCACATACCAGGAAACTTGTTCCCAAGTGCGCATCGTGGGGATTCGGGGATTTGTCTGTTTTCCATAATAGGAATGGGTGCTTGTACTGTATGCCTGTCGAGAGTTTGGAATACGAAATGGTATTCCAACGCGGCGTGGCCGGCTAGGATGGAAAAGGGCGGGAAGGGTGTTTTGTGTACTTTGTTCGTATAGCAACGGATAGCGACGGGCTATTGAACGAAGCTTGGGGATATGCGATAACTGGTAGATCATGATTGGCGTTTTCACCATTGGTTTTCACCGGCCATCACACATTGATGCAGGGTAGAATTCAGGTTCCTATGCCTACAGAAACAGGCCAGGATGAGATCACGCAAGCATCAAGGAGCACCACCAAGATACTGGGCATGACCAACCACAGCCAGCTTTGACATCCAGGAAGCAAAAACATCAAACCCACAACTAAACTTTTAAGCCCCAACCGAGTATATTACACACCCACTCCCTAGGAGAGCAAATCAAAGTCATCCACCGTATCCCTATACTTCATAATAGTCCTCTTAATCTTCGAGGAATCCACCCACGTGACAAAGTCCTCCATATTCCTACCCAAATCAGCACCGCCCCACGAAAAAGAAAAGAAACCATACCTGGTAACCAAATACGCCGGATCAACCACGACCTCCGGTCCAACTCTAATATGCCCCTGCTCCACAAACCTCACACCAGTGTGAACAGTCTCACACATCCTTAGCCTCGTCATCACGACCGGTAACCTCCTGCGACAGAAGGCGGCGACGGTAACCTTATTCTCCACATCGCTCATCTTGGCCCCCTGCGGCAATATCCCCATCGAGTGCAGCTTTTCTAATAGCAACTTTTCGTGCTTTCGACGGACTGGGTCGGTGGGGTCTAGTAGTGCGAGCTTGTGCGCTAGGTGGCGGATGCTGCCGCATATCTTGTTGTACTTTGTGTAGGTGTTTGGGTCTTGGATGTGGTAGCGGCGCATGACGTCGTGGGCGCGGTGGGAGGAGTCGGACTTCCAGGTCAGAAAGTCGACTTTTCGGAGAAGTCTAGCTGAGGGGTTAGCTATCATGAATTGAGGATGTGGGGGATGAGGGGAATTACTTCTGCTCATGGTGTTTGAGTTTGCGGACCATTTTTTGATATTAGTTGCGATTACAATCTATGGCGGCACTTCTTTCTTTTGGGGGATGTCGTTGAGCAAACGTTGAGGTCAAAATTGAGTGAGGCTCAAACGGAACCGTAGATCGCCAAGACTCCATGCATAGTCTACTCGTACTCGTAGTCCGTGCTTACCCGTACTTGTTGTAATCAGGTCAAGACTTCACTGGCCAATCACTCGGCTCTAAACATATACGATATATTATTATCATACTGGCGTATCTCCATCAAGGTTTCGAATTCCGGATACCCCCAGTATTACAATAGTGATCACCATCTCCCAACATAGTCCCAAAAATTCCCACCCACACTCCACCTCCACCCAGCGGTTCCAGTCGTCCAGTCCTGGGTTTCCTTTTATGGATACAATATCACCCCATTAGGGATTTCAAATTTATTTATTTGTTTTACCTTATTTTTGTTTTAACTTATTGTAGAACTAGTGTGTGTCTTACTGGGTGGCATTGGGTGCATTGACCAATTTTAGTCGACGGCAGTCGGACGGGACGGCTAGGAGCACTGGCCTCCACCCCCCGAGCCGAAACTCCATGTCTGGCATTCGGCACCGGTACAGCCTGGTTACAGGTCTACAACACCACCAGCAGGGCCGTGAAGAGCGCTTGTAGCGCTATGGTGGAACTGAAGGAGGAAGACCTGTGCAGCAATATCGGCGCTTCGAACCCCACCCAACCCGAAGCAACCGAATGGGCTGTCATGTCAATCAAACCCGTGATCAGTCAGATCGAGTCGAACCCATATTGTGTCAACCACGAGTTGCTCGAGGGTGAGCACGGTCGGGAAGATATATTCCTCACTGGCGCCGTCGACAAAGTTCTCCGACGTTGCTTTGGATCCTGTTGTCAAGGATATCGCGGGGAGGGTCCGGAAGACGCCGGCCCAGGAGTTGCTGGGATGCTGGTTATTGTTTCTACGACTGCCACTCGAGTAGCAGGAACGAAGAGCGTCAGAAGGGGTTTCTCGACCTGAGCCTGAGTGGGCGGATACGGAAAGGATCAGGGAAGCCGGGGAGAAGCAGCATCACGGGGGGTATTGGCTCAAGGGGTATGGAGAGGGGGGGCTACCGCTTAGCCGGAAGTCTCTATCATGTACTTTTTGGGATGGTCCACTCTATTCTAGACTGCCGCTCTAGCATTTGACTCCGAGTTCATGGAGACTCTGAATACACAGACTACAGTTATAGTGCTATAGAAGCGAGCGCCTTCTTACATACGCAAGCTTGCTCACATTCACATTTGTGCTCTTTCCCCGCTTTCCTTATAGCGGGGCTTTTCATTTCTATCCTTTAGACAATCAACCAACAATGCCTTCCCCTCAATTTCTCTACTCCTCACAGCACAAATTGTAACATTACACCGATAATTCACGGTCACCGTCGGGCCGCCAGATATGACTCAATCGAGTCCACACGCCAAGGATCCCAAACATTTCTCCATCCGGTTCTACCATTATTCCCCCCCCCCCAACCCGTGTAAAGAAAAAGAAAAATAGAAAGAGAAACCCAAACTAAAGAGAAGAAAAAAAAACCCTGAAAAGAAGAAGAAAAAAGATGCTATATATGAACAGTCTTCCGAATCGAAGAGAGAGAGAGAAAAAACTGAAAATGTCAAGTGAATTTAAACTCCAAACCCACCCCCGTTTCCATTCCCTTTGCCAGGATCCAGCAGCAACTTCGGTTTGATATAGCCCTCGTCAATCTTCCTAAACCATTCGGCCTGGTCGTCCGAGCCGCCGAACATGCCGGCTAATTGACCTAGTGCTCCGGAGGCTGCTGTTCCCCCTCCTCCATTACCACTGCTATTACTATCGTGTTGTGTGTGGTGGGAGCTGCCACTTCCCTCGTCATTTCCACCGTTATGGCTGCTGCCTCTTGCCATGGAGATGTTCTTCTGCCGAGGGTTCATGGGTGGAAGGCCATCGTCGTCATCATCAATGTAGTCGCTGTCGTTGCCGCCACTTCCACCTGACGCACCGAGTATGTCCTGTTCTGGGCGATTTCGCTGACTGTTTCTTCGTCCGCTCATGCCGGAATTCGGCCTATCTGGAGGAGTTGGTGAGTTTCCATAGATTCCTCCCGTGGAGATGGCACCACCGCTCCTGTCTTCCCTGGGAACAGTGGATAGCGGGAGACCCACCGGGCCCATTCCACCCCGGGAACTCTTGTAATAGGCGCCGACGTTCTCAATGTCGAATTCGTCGTCGCTGTCAATTTCCTCGACCACGCCGGTTCGGATACCGAGGATTTCTAGCATTCTTGCGGTTGTGCCGCCAAAGACGATGACTGTGAGGACTACTACCACTAGCACGGTTGCCCTAAGGGAGTTTCCGTTTTCTCCGGTTATGCCAGCGGCGAGGGCGACACCTACAGCCCCGCGAAGACCGGCCCAGAATAACATAGCCTGGTAGCTGTGGGGGAGCTCATCGGCTACGGTACGCCCCCGCGCCTGTGCACGGTAACGGATGACAAAGTTGATGAGTTTAGAAAGCGGGAAGACAGCCGCCCAACGAGCCACGCAGATTCCAATAACAGTCACTATAATAAACGCGGGGCGGAAGACAAGCTGTGTCTCTGTGAAAAGTGACAGTCCAAGGTAGATAAAGATAAAATTCTCAGAAAGCTGCGCCAGGACTTGAAAGAGGTACTTTGTAGTTAGCTGCGTGCGGCGAGACATATTATAATATGCGTAATGCTTGAGTGTGATCCCGCAGAACAGCAAAGACACAATTCCTATATTGACCTCTCGTCAGCCCCACGCCGACTCGGTTAAACCAGAAAATGACCCTTACCGGACATGTGACAACCATTGGAGAAAAGATATGAGGCGTAAGCCACCAAAAGGATAAGACAGCTCTCAATCTTCGGAAATCTCCGTATATACGTATGCTTCAACAGCAATGCCGTTCCGATCCCGATAAAAACGCCAATCATCAAACTAACGGTAAACACCAGGAAGAAAATCCCAATACCCCTGAACAAGCTCCCAATACTGGCAGGGCCCTTGTTCTCCCCGTGAAATCGCTGCGCAGTCTCGAACATGACAATAGCCACGGCATCATTGAGAATACTCTCTCCGAAGATTACCGTGTAAAGCTTTGGGTCCACTTTGTAGGTGTTGAAGATGGCGAGGATCGTAACGGGATCGGTAGCAGAAAGCGTCGCGCCAACACCGATCGCTTCAACGAACGAAATCTCGAGCGCTTCAAAGGGTCCATAGGACCAGATGAACAATATGACCCTAGAACATCCCCACCCCCACTCAGCTTTATCCTCACCACCACCACCGCCAGGGCGCAAAAGAAGGGAAGGCTAATCATCGCAACATACCCAAGGACTACCGCCGAAATGAAGGTTCCAGCAAAGGCAAACGTCAATATAGAACCTAGATTCCGAAAGAAATTCGCCTACCCCGTCACCATCACCCCCAGCGTTAGCACCCACCCCATCATCCCCTTCAGAAGTGGAGGGGTGAAAAGATACCTGATGAAGCTCATACCCCGAGTTCAAAATAATCGGTGGTAGCAGCACATTAAAGAAAATCTGATAATCAAACTTAACCAAGCTCTGCAAATGCTCGGATGAGGTAAGCCTAATAATCAACCCCACAAACATTCCTACCCAAAACCGCCCCTCCATTAGCTCCACCAGTTCGCCCCCGAAGGAGGTAGGGGGGGGGGGTGGAAACAAACTTACCAGCAAAAATAGAAATAACAGTCTCGTGCACTGCCTGAATCTTCTTCAACTGCAAATAATAACTACAAAATAGCGCCAATATCAACAATGTGACTTGAATGAAAAGGGCCCACGAAGAGATGATTTCGGATTCGCCGGGGTCCGTGACGTCTACACCATCCAAGTCAGCCACCACCTCTTTCTCTCCAGTTTGACTTTGAAAGGACATACCACCATCATCAGGATCTTCAGCATCGCGTCCTAACCGATAACCGCACATCAGCTTAATCCAAATTCCGGCCACGTTTCACTTACACCAGAGAGATAGGAAGAAGCGGGCATACTTAGCAACGCGAACAGCATCTCTGATGCCATCCCTTTCGAGCTTTGTAAAAAATCAATTTCGAGATCACTCCGTTCCGATTTAAGGCCAGCTCTGGTATTAAACACGGGGTGAAGCGAGCGAGCGAGCAACCGCAGCGAAGGGAGAGAAAGAAGAAATGAAGCGGGATGAGTAGATAACACGCACGATACGATACGATAGAGTGGGGAGGGGGAGTGAGTAAGGGGAGGGTTTCGAGGGTTTGAGACGATGTGTCCCGGCCGCTAATCACCCAAGCCTACCACTACCGGTATTGCGCGGGTATGGCACGGTAGGTGACCTTTTTTTTCTTTTCTTTTTTTTCGTCCTCTTTTCCTTTCTTTTCTTTTTCCCGAGAGCAACCACACTGACGGAGAGGAAGGAGGTGAAAAGTGAGAGCCGCGTTTCTGGGCTTTTATTTATGGATTCGGGCTGACAGGGCACTTTTTCGAACCTGTTAGTCTAACGTGCATACCTTGGCGGGCAGACAGGCAGGTGTGTTAGTACTGTAAATTTTACCGTAAGCGAACGTGGTAGTGATGGGGCGGGCGCAGGTGGACGGACAGCGGACAGGCGGGTACTGCCGTGATCTAGGAAAGGTAAGGAGAGCTTGCTTTTCTCTGCCCCGGGAGATAGTGTTTCCCCCGAAAATAATTTTACGCAGAGCTTTAAAGACTATGTACAATTACGTAGAAATAAGGGATGGGATGAAAGGAAAAAGAATGAAATAAATGCTTCGTGGTCGGAGCCCGAGTGAGGCAAGCTCAGGGGGTAATTCTCCATGGAAAAAGTTGGCGAGATCACGAGTAGAAAGCAAGGACACCTATCCTATCCAGACGCTCCATTGATACACAGCCGCTCACTCACACCCTTCCTGGCGTACCGGTAACTTATGTGACAAAATCGGGGTCATGGAAAAAATGAAAGAAATTACAAGCAACTTCATGAGGTACTGTATGAATTAGATAAAACCATTGGGGTAATAAAGACTCCCATTCGTAGTCTCGTCCGTTCGATGACCCCATTACTGTAAACACCCATTAAAACCACAACATTCCCAACATACAGTCTTCACCGTAGTCACGATGAAACCGGGCGGGCGACGGATTAATTGCCAGTAATTTTGTAACCCTAACCTTTGCTTTCTTTTTTCTCCCCCAGAAATATCCCTGTTCGTCGCCCGCCCAGTTTCGTCGCGACTACGGTGAAGACTGTACCGTCTATCACTCACATACCGGTACACAAACGCAAGTGTGCGAGAAGCAGAAAAGAAAAGAAAAGAAAAGAAAAGAAAAGAAAAAGCATCATCAAGTCTAACCCAAAAAACTCCCAAATCAACACCTCTCCTCAAGCCTCACGCCTCCCCCTCCCCCTCCCCCTTCCCCCCCAGCATCTCAACCACCTCCCCGACGCCCCCCCTAACCGCAATCCCCAACGGTGTCCTCCCACAGCAGTTCTTTACCCCACGAACACTTTCACCATTCTCCCCGTCGAGTAAAACCTTCACGACGCCAGCGCCGCCGTGCGCGACAGCGAGGTGCAGCGCAGTGTACATACAGTAACCCGGGTGCGCGACATCAGCGACACCGTTCGCGAGCAGAAGCCGTATGAGGCGGAGGTCGTTGCGGAGGACGGCCCAGTGCAGCAGCGGCATGCCGCCGGCCCGCGCGGTCTGGTTCGCGGCCGAGTTTAGCAGGGGGGTTAGCACGTTCGCCAGGCGGATGTTGACGCGCAGCAGGCGCGATTGGTACTTTGGCGGGAGGAGTTCGGCGATTGTGAGGAGGAGTTCGGGGGGGAGGGTCAGGAAGGGGGGTGGTTTTGGTGGTGAGCCGGTTTGGTTTATAGCCATTGTGGTGAGTTATCTGGCGCCCGGAGGAGGGGAACTGAAGGGAGGGCGAAAGGCAGGAGGAGGACGCTTATAGGGGGGTGGTGGAACGGGGGCAATGTGAGACGGGGGAGTGGGTGGTATCGGGAGATTTCATAATCATCTCGCCCTCTCAAATCTCCGGGTGAGACATACAAGTAAGTGATGAGACTTGCAGTGCCTTTGCGCACCGTAGCTGGTTAGCCAAGGGAGGTCAGAGGTTGACGTTTTCCCGGGAATGAGATAAGCCCCTTTTTCCCAACAGTCTCCAAAGCCTCAGCTCCGAAAGGCCGATGCTCGTCATCATGCAAGATAATCCGCAGTCATCACTCATCACTCGAGTATTTTCACTAAGCAGTCTGAACGGGCCGGAAGGCCCTGCCTCGGCGTGCCAAGGCTGTACGATATGATCGGCTAACCGATCGTGACATTCACCAAGGGCTTGGTAACAGCGTTCGGACAAACTAATTCAATGGTGGTGAAACGTACAAGAAGCCATTCCCGATCCCTCTCCACTCTGATAAAATAAAATAAAACCTCCTCCAAGCTGAAAAAGCTGCATACCAAGTAGACCACACACCTCTACCCCCCTTTTTTTTGGCCACAGTGGCAAAACAAGGAAAACCTCTAATCATGTTCCCGGACAACATCCAAACACAAAAGCAGTGAGGAAAGCAAAGAAGAAGAAAATAGCGAACAGTGGAAGGGGTGAAGTAGGGGATGAAGTAGGGGATACGGTAGGGGATAAAAGACATTCCAAATACTAACCATGCGTCCTAACAAAGCCCTAGAAATAATGTGAATACCCAATGTGACAGCCCAACAGGAGGGGGAATCCTTAGGCCAAGAAGAAACCGAACAAAATATAAAATAGAGAACAAAACAAATCTTAAAAAAAAAAAAAAACTCCAGCCGATTCATCTAAACTTCATCTCCCTCATCCAGCCTTCTATAGTTTCCTCCAGACTCGTATTCTGATTTCGCAAATAATCTGCTGAACAATCCACCAATTCCTCGACCGCTCCCTGATCGGCCCGGTGGTCTCGATTTCTTTGAATCAGCACTTCCGATATCGAGTGAAGGAACCGGGCTACCACTGCGACTGGGATGAAGGAGTGACTGTTGCGCGGTAGGGGGTGTTTGGTCACCAAAGATAGCGTCCATGTCCTCGAGTTGGACGCCCTTGGTCTCTGGATAAACAAAGTATACTATTTATAAAATTAGCACACGTTTCGGGCCCCAAGGAAAACAATTAATTGTCAGATTAGCATACCAAGAACAAAACTGACGGCGCAGAAGAACGCATGCACCAGATAAAGGCGCCATTTGATCCAATCCTGTAGAATTGGCGTCATCTCTCCTACCAACCAGTTGAATGCCCAGTTGGTCGCAGTCGAAAGGGAAGCTCCTTTGGCTCTGATGCTGAGGGGCATGATCTCCGGGGGGTACAGCCTATTCATGATTAGAATTAGGGGTAACCCATGGGGTGATATCAAAACTTACCATGGGACAGGTCCCCATGAGTATCCGAAAAATGCGTTGTAAATAATGACAAATATGACCACCATCCTTGGAGTGTAATGGACATCAATGTAAATGAAGTACGATATCGCCGTGAGTGCGAGGGACATGATGATGGCTCCAGAAAGCAAGATAGGACGACGGCCCCACTTGTCCATAAGATACCATGGGGGGATGGTGCTGAGGACATAGACGATTCCATTGATCCCGGTCATAAGAATAGCATCGCGACCGACCCACCCGGCCTGCTCAAAAACCATGGGAGCCTATCCTGGTTAGAAGCGAAGAACAGAAAGTGATATGTGAGGCAACTCACGTAGTACGAGATAACGTTGATACCATTCAACTGAGCGAACGCTTGGGATGACATGGCAATCAAGAGGCGTTTCTTGTACCTATTCCACATCTCGGCGTAGGATCGTTCACCCTCCGAGCGCATGACGAGGACATTCTCCTTGATTTCACGGTACTCGTCCCTCGCACGCTCATTGTGGATATCGCCACCCCCATGAAGATTTGCCAAGACAATCATCCCTTCTTCATCATAGTCATTATCAAGTAGCCATCTACGTACAATTTGTCAGTCGCGAGGGCAAAAAGGGAGATGACGCTTTATGATACCTTGGAGATTCGGAGATGATAAGGGAGCCAATCGCGAGCAAAGAGCCCATAATACATTGCATAAAGAGCGGGAGTCTCCAGGAGTAGTTACTCTCGATAAAACTACAGAAGTAGTCTACCCAGACACTCGATGCGTATCCCACGATGTTACCCGTGAATTCGATACATGCAAGCTGGCCTCGATTATGTGGGGGCGAGATCTCAGACTGATAAACCGGAACGATGGTTGAGAGTGCACCAACACCAACACCAGCAATGATACGGCCAAGGATTAAAGATCCCATTCCAGTAGTAAAAGTTTGTAGAGCGCCTCCAGTAACAAAGATAATAGCTCCATAGAAAATAGTTTTTCGCCTTCCAATGATATCTCCGACTCGGCCTACAATCAAGGATGATACAAATGCTCCGACTTCCAAGATAGCTACCATAGTCCCTATCTGGGCTCTGGTGGGCTGATTGAAATAATCCTTAAAGTAAGGGCCGCTATAGAAAATGGGATTAGTGCTCTATCCGATCAGGGGCTCAGGCAAGAATTTTCGTACGTGATGATCCCGGACATGACCCCTTGGTCATAGCCGAACAAAAACACCCCCAAACTTACGAAAACACTCGTAAAATATCTACCATAACGTTAGCTTGTTCACGACTGGGCAAACACTGGGGAGAAAGAGAGGGTAATCACAGTAAGGGCTTCCCCGTGAGCCCGTGCACAGAGCTGCCATTACGACCGCAAGTCATGATGGAGACTAAAGCCTTTTCTGCTCTCGATACTTTCCTGGGTCCTGGGGTAGGTATAGGGATTTCTATTTCTTGTCGACGGTGTCCGTCGTGGTGGGATGACTGTGAGGCTGAAGACCTGCGTCGGTGATGACGCACCTTCTTCGAGCCAGGGCGGCGGTGAGAGAAACGAGTGCTAGATGACGGGCCACTGAGACCGTCGCCGAGGATTTCCTGAAGTCTAATGGATAAGGGATCCTCCTCCCCAAGTTGTTCAGCTAAGTCACCGGTATCACTCCAAGAGAACCCAGAATAGTCTGAGTCGATGGATGACCGAGAGGATGAAGAGTGGCCGTGGGGAGGGTTATGATGTGAAGGCCCTGGGGGAGGATATTCTGTGTGTTGAGGATCTGACGAAGAAGACGGTCGAGAAACTAGGGAACGGAGGGGTATATCGACCTGACGCGTGGGGGGAGGGGATGTGGGAGGAATGGTGACGGTGGTGGGGCTGGCGGACAGCCGTGTTCTTCAATCTTTGACGGGTCCAGGACTACTGCAGGCCCTGGCTGTCGGCGGTTGATGTGGGAGGAGGAGTGGAGAGCGGGTGAAGATTGAATTTTGCCTCCTATGGGCAGGTTCGAGACCTTAGTGTGTGGTGGGTCGGGCAGTGCGGAAGGGGGGGGGGGAGTGATGGTGGTGGAGGGTCGTGGTCAGGCCGGGGAAGCTTTGTTGGGCGATAGCAAGTTGCTAGGGCAAATGCTCCAGGGGTGAGTGAGTGCACAGCTGCCCTGACCTTGCTCCCCTCCTACTCACAAATCATATCATATAAAAAATAAAATAAATAAAAAAGTCTACAATAAGCTCAAAAAGACCTAAGATCAGTCAGATGAGATTTCTGAGTCTTCGCTTCGTTTTTCTCTATTATTTTGTTATGTGTTTTTTTTTTTTTTTTCGTTTGTTTTCTGACATTATTGGTTTTTTTTCTCATGTTTCAAGGAAGGGTGTAGTGATCAGACAGAACAGCGTGTCAAGCGCTGAACAAAAGGATCAAAATATTATTATTATTATTATTATTATTTGTTGCTACCACATGCAAAGGGCGGATAGGGAAAAAGATAATCTGCCTGTGCATCCAAGGAGAATAAGGTAAAAAAGATCAATTGCACCAGGGATGCAGTGATTGGTCGAGGAGCGATTGAGGAAAGTGCAAGAGGAAAGGATATCGGCATGCAAACTGTATGCGACCGACAGTGCAGCTCATCGGAATATGATAGCAGTAAAGAAAAAATAATAATTTGCGCTGGAGACAACCGTGAAAGATGATATCCGAACAGCTACTCGAGTACAGTACGGTGGTGAGGAAGGAAATGATCCCTTTGACTAATGCTTGACTGTGTGAGCCGGCACTTGGAAAGGGGGGATGGAATGGCTACAGAATCGGTGTTCTTAGCTCTAATACTGGGACCAATCAATATCCTTTATCGGAAGTATTCATCACTTTTGGTTGTTTTTACTCCGCCTTGCACGCATGAAGAAGAAAAAAAAAAAGAAAAAAAAGAAAGGTCTTCCCAATTGTGGTAATACAAGTTTCGCCAAGTCCATCGCATTTGAGAGATGGTCTTCGCCAATTCTAAAAAGTCTTGCTGGTCCCCAAAGTCACTCCTCTCCGGAGACTGATATCATACTACCGTAACGTCAGCTCTCAGCCATCCCGTACCCCAGTTTTTGGGGGCGCTTGTATGATAACTGCCAAGCTGACAGTTTACAATAACCGTTGCCAGGATGCCGCAACCACAAGTACGAGTACCCGAGTAGACTATCGTGAACGAGTGGGAGCAGAACGGCCCCTTCAGCCCTGTAAACGGTTTCGCAACATCCTCTGGCATAGTGCCGGTAAGTTATCATAGAGATTTGGACCACAGGGAGAGGCATATCCGAGATCTAATCCAGATGCCGTAAACACGAAAAAAAAAAAAAAAAAAAAAAGGGAAAAAGGGAAAAAGGGAAAAAGGGAAAAAAGGAAAAAAGGAAAAAAGGAAAAAAAAAAGGAAAACAAAAAACCACAACAAATACCGGTATCGCAAAATACGACCACGCATGCCATGTGACCAATGAAAAAATTTAATTCTTTCGAGTGCACTGCCGGTAGTGTTTCACCACTTGACAATGTTCTAGACGTTACTAATACTCGGCACATACAAACTCATGTTTACACTGCATAATCTTTGAGCCGTATAATAACAAGAGATAACGTTCAGCCTGAAGCATTGTTTTATTGATAAAATGTACTGTAAGAGTACCTGGGAAGTACAAGTACTCGAACGCTCCACCCCATACCGGTATGTTGAAACAATCCTTCGACGGGCGCATTCGAACACCGAATTTATCCTGAGAAAAGCCAGTATTCCGGGAAGGCGGAGGCTTCCGGAGGTGAGGATAAATATCACCCCATTGGATATGGAGGAAAAATGTTTTGGCGCGGATGCGGGGTTGTTACCGCTCTTCGGGGTGCCCTCTCTCTCTACTCGAGGCTTCGCTTGTGCTCCTAAGGGTGATGATGTCCGCTGTGTCACTTTGGTCACTCACTATGCGGTCACGAGAAGCTCGCTGTTCTTCAGAAATTTTGCAAGTGATATAAAATCCTGACACTCCCAGATGGCCCCATACCTGCAGAGCGTTCGATTATGACGGTCGAATTCAACGACAAGAGAGGATTTCGAGGTGGGCTCCAAGCTGCATACAAAAACGGCAGCGATCGGATGCTTGACAGAGATCTCTAGCAACAGCGTCAGCCAAGCAGTTGAAAAAGAAAGCCTGGAGCACAGAGGATCGTCAAAAATAACAAGTTCGCACGGGAACGAAACAACCACAGCACATCGATGCCCCTTTTACGCGAAGAATTTCCCCACCATGCAATTGATCAAAGAGGGGTTGCTAGACGCCGAGGACGAACGAAGAGAAGCGCCTTTCTCCGAGCCTTGCGAAATGTGCCGCGGGAAAAAGAAACCAGCGGAAAGCTTGGTGTTCGTCGGTTGCGTCGTTGACAGGGACAGAAAGATCGGGGGGAAAAACTCGACTCAAAAAGGAAAAGGATGGAAAGAAAAAAGGCGTTGAAAAAAATCCTGGATCTCGGTAATTTAGTCGGTGTGGAGGAGTCCTTAGAGCTCTTTGTTTCCCTTCTACGGACCGCTTCTCCTCCTCGGAAAAAAAAAAACGGTCCTGAGCTCCTCCTTGTCGCGTGTCCACAAGCATCCAGCGGGGACTCCCGATCTCGAATAAACAGCTTCTGGCATCTGAAATTCTCCCAAAGAAACGAGGCCGGTCCCGAGCCAACGATGCTGCTTAACTAATCGCATCAGCACCCCACGAGCACTCGAGTATTGGGAGCAGCGCCAAGATACCACTGGTACGGTATGGTATCCATATGAGCGCGGTAGACTGCCGGTAGTAGCGTAAGCCAACTCACTACTGTGTTCGTAGGTGATTTCCCGTCATATTGTGAAAGTTATATATATCTGCACTCGTTGTTTAGCTGTGGCTCGAGCTCAGCCTCACTGTAGAGATCATGAGGCTTCCCATCATGACCGCCAAATCTGACAGCTGCAGGGGTTCACCATGTGACGCCTCTGTTACGAGTAATGATCACGGCAAGTGATCTAGCAAACCCCAAGTTCCAGGTTCCTCCAGTGAAGACGCAGGGTCACAATGAGTTTGTGGGGTAACTATATTTTAGACCGACGATGACTTGGAACGGGAATCGAGGCTTCCACACCAAATGCGGGGCACCGTGCATGACTTATTCCGTATAGTGCGAGTAGAAGCTCATGATTCACAAAGGCACGACGATCGTTCCTTCAGTTGAGGACTCGTAGGTGAAGGTGGGATAAAGGGTGGGGACACAGCATGAGTCTTGGTATGATGTGATAAAAAGTTGTGAAAAGCCCTGAAGTAGGGAACTGCCTCCGTGAACCCCTATGAACTCACTCGGGCCCGAATGACTAAAAATATCTGGAATGAATCATCCGTAAAGAGCCTTACGTATGATATGGTACCGGTATGATACCAAATAGTCCATTCCAAATCGCCGAGAAACATAAGTTAGTTAGCCCAGCAGTCTGTCACGGAGAGGGAGCCGATGAGTTCGAAATATTTGCCATCCAGAATCACCAAATATCAATCGCCTTAGCAATATTTTTCCGAAGGTTTGAGACACCACAATACAGTATGAATCACACTCGAGTAATAGGGTTAGAGACGCCTTACTTGTGACATCTTGGCGGCACCGGTATCATACGTCCCCCATCTTCCACCTGTGCTCGAGTATGTGCTGGCAGCGAAATCCAGCGAGGAAGCATGATCACTCCTTTAAAAAACCTGGTACCGGTATGGTATCTCCTCATCCAAGTTTCGGTCGCGCGTAGGGGGGTGGGGTCTGAGCCAGATCAGATGAACTGTTAGTCTACTCATTCGGCAGCACACCTGAGTGCCAAGGATTTGGGCTCCAGTGGGTCTTGGCGTTAAAGTGTCCAGATACAGGTGCTCGATATGAAATTCGCGAGTACGGTAGGCGCAATCCAACGCAGCGCAGCCCCTCGCCACCATTACATTGTCTGTACCTAAGGTATTAATAGAGACCCAAACCCTTAATATTCGCTATCAGTTCCCGCTGCGAATCATCCCGATCTCAGGGTTGGCAAAGCTCGCTCCAGGCACGTATATATAGCGAGCTATGATACGTATTAAAGTACACACACGAGCAGCTTTATTGCTGCTGGTCCTCGCAATGCACTCGAGTACTGTACAGTACTCGAGTATTACAGCTCTCCAGGGACCGACACAGGTTTCAGTAAATGTTGGTCCGAAAACCGGCGAATCAGACTCTCCGAGCTCCTAATTACCGCACTACCGGTATTACTTTCGGACTCGCTTAGTTTCGGCCCGAGGGACGTTATACGCCCAGGTTCTCGGATGAAATCGACCAGTTCCCGATAACACTGTGTGTAAAACCCCAGTGTATGATTACCTGTTGGCTTTCCTGGTGAGGAGAAACAGTAGAATTCAAGATGGCTTCCGCCATCCGAATATCCAGTCGAGAATAGTCACCGATGGGACGATTTTTATGGGCTAGACCCTCGCTGGGCCCATACCGACTTAGAAAACTATAATGGTTTGAATCGATCGCCTGCTCCAGCACTGCTGCCGCTCCGATGAGTAAAGTACATCGAGGGCCACAGTGGTAATGGAAGCTTCTGGGCACTTGCATTGACCACAAGAAATCTAACCTAATTCTTCCAGATACACCACTCGGTCGAAATAGAAAACCAGCGCCCAATACGACACCTTTGTCAATAACTCCCCCCCTCCCCTTCGAATCCGGAACCCATCCATTCACGCTGCAGGATACTCCGAGTCTCCTGGTGCCGAGAAAAGAAAGATGATAGGGGAATAGAGAAGTGCATTTCCTTAGAAGCTCTTGGGAGCTATCCACAGGAGGTGTCGAAAGGGCCAACCCACATTTTATTAAGGATAAGGACGGAGCTCCCATAGGCTAACCACCATCCTGAGATCTCCCCCTGGCTTAGATCCCATAGCGGCCGGCGGATGGTGGAAATAATTTCGCAGTACGGATTACTTCGCTGGCACTATCATACCGGTACCGGTATGTGTTCTCATACGACCCTTTCCAGCATCAAGAATCCATTATCGATCTATCTTCCCGACAAAACACTAGTATAGATCTGTAGCGCCCTGCCCGGTGTCCCCGCTTGGCCCCAAATTTCACAACTCCTAAGTGTACAGACTACTGCCAAAGAGGGATCACGGATCGGCGGTCGTGGAAGAGAAAGGAACATAGCATAGGTCTCCAGCTACAAAGGGGGTTTGGGCTTTTGTGACCTCTGAGGACGGGTAGAGGACCAGGAGACATTCCCTTCTCCAGTATTGTTGATGTGGAAGCTCGGCGGAGGGATAAGTGATTGTACATGAGACGGAAGGCCGCCGGAGGCATTGATGGATGTTGTTCGAAAGGATGGACTGAGACGAATTGGAGGAAAAGAGTGATGGTGAGAGAGCAGGTGATGGATGGAAAACAGGAAGCAAATGATAGAAGTTTCTAGTTGATGGGAATGGTTAGCCAGTTGTCTTTTTATGGGGGATTGCAGAGAATAGTTTCATTCTTTGCCTTGGCGGAAGGTTGCAGAAAGGAAGAGACTCATGTGGTGATAAGGAGCTAGATTTGTCTTTTCCGCCCGTGTGCCGTGAGTTAAAAAAAAAAACGTCGTTTTTTGCTTAGGTCAATACCATCAAAGTTCATACCCCACTGCACACGGTAGTATCGCTAAGAAGTGTGACGTCCCAAGTAACACTAGACCGCAAAATCAGAGGGGAACCCAAACTACGCCCTTAGCTTCATATAAAGTCACTCGGGTTCTCATTTTCTAGGGGTCTTTCTTTTTTTTCCTTTTTCCCCCTACAAGTCTACAGCGAGCGAAGCCACGATATTTGAAGATTGCACGGCCAGACTTGAGATTCACAGCAAGGTATCGATACCTCTCCCGAACCGGACGGACGCATCCCATCACCCACGGCTTTGGCGGACCTGTTTGCACCACTCCTCCTACTCGTTGATCTTCCAACTTCCAAAAGGGGTATGGTAAGCAATTGGTTGCGACGACTGTCTTCCGCAAACATCCATCGTATCTCAGATCCGTGGTGTGAAGAAGTTACAAGCTGGCCGCCCTGCTTCAGCTACGTACAGTACAGTATCGCGCCATGGATAAGATTCGGTTACCGTATTATTGTGAAAGCCCCAATCAAAAATGCCCTTTTCCATGCTCAAGTCAGGAGCTGAAAAAAAGGCCCCCGATACAGTACTTGTAACAACGGGGGATAGATCTAAATTACCTACCGCGCTACCGTATCCCTACGGCTTTGATACCGTGAGTTGACCGGAAATTTGATGATTTGATGAATAACCGAGATTTACCGAGCGATGGTCCTGGGGTCATGCGGTTCTCCGACTCGGGGAATGGCGAATTTTGGCGGACAGGGAGGGGAGGGGAGGGGCGCCGGTATGGCGACATGCTAGCGTTACTCGAGTGCAAGTACGAGTACAAGTACAGTACGATGGAGAAGGTGGCATTCTTGACAGGCAAACCTGGTCGCTCCTTCCTGGCTTACTTGGCGTACTTGTACAAGGGTTTGCCGTGATCTTGCGGTGCAAGTAAGCCTGCGTGTGAGATTTGGTTTTCCAGCTCTCATCGTCGGAAAAGCGATAGGGGTGGATGCGATGTGCGGTAGGTCAAATATTTGCTGCTTTGTCGTGTAGCCAATTGAGTTAGGGTATTGAGACAACCGATAGCGATGTTCATTCATTAGGCGCCCGTGGCCTACCGTAAGGGGCTGTTTCTATGTTGTTTAATGCGTTCCCTTACCCCTTTCTCCGTCAGTTATGTCGGAGCTACAGTAAGATACGAGTACGGTAACTTAGTATGGTAGTTCTACTTGTACTCGTACGAGTACAAGTATGAGTGCTCGTGCTTTTTAAAAACGCAGATCAAAAATTGGCCAAATCATAGTCAAAACAAGGTTTCTGCGCGGTTGTGTCCCAGAGTATAGCAAGTCTTTGCAAAGTCCGCCTTCAGCCCTGCAGGACCCCCGAGTAAAGAAGTTTCTGCGCTCTGGAGCGCATGCCGCATGCATAGGATATTTTCGGTGTCTCTCCGCTCCGTACCGCCGGAGCCAGAAGCAGTCGATTCCGTTAACTGGAGGGTGGGCTAGAAGAGTTTAATCGTTGAAATAAGGCTCCTGAGCAAGCTCCTTTTACCGGGTTGAAGGCAAAACAGGATTCACTCACTCACTCACCAGCCACAGAAGGGGAGTGAGGGAAATCGGGCTTGAGGGGATAACTTGGTCCATCTCCCGCGCGAGCTGAGACAAAGAGGTAAAGATTTGCGGGCAAGCCACAAGCAATTGTGAACCATGGGGGGGGGGGGTTCTGTGCCTGGACCGTGGGCGGGAGCAGCCGCTTGGAATGCGTGGTGCACGCACCATGCGTTAGAGATCAGATTGGGAACTTTCTAAATCCAACGAAGTTCTTTCTCCCCTCCCTCCCTCCAATGAAGTGAAGAAAGGCTTGTTCGGTGTTAATCAATCTACGGCCGAGAGACACGCTTCCAGGGAGTGACAAGGGAAGAGAAGGTTCGCCAATGCATATAATTGCACCGGAAGTTTTAAAAATTTTCCCGATTTTCCGAGTCCCCTGTAACTTATACATTTTTCTCGGTCTCACCCATCACTACGAATACCCGTAATGCCAATGGAATACGAGAATGAAGTTTTAGAAGGAGTCCCAGGTCCGATGCTGGCTGTTGACCGGGATGCAGAGCTCATTTCACAGTAATAAAACGGTGCGATGGTTGTTTGCTGATTGATTGATTGATTGATTGATTGGCAAGAACAGAATAAGTTACCCAAAAATAGAATCAGGGATGGAAGTCTGGCCACCACAAACACGAAGGATCTGGCGAATTACTCGTACAGTGAGTGGAAAACAGGCGCAAAATAGAACAGCCGTTTTAACCAAGTTTATATCAGGCGCCTCTGAAAATCTATTGCCCCGTTGTTATTTCAGAGAGGCGAGAGAGGGGAGGGGGGGAGCGGGCAGATACCGGTAACTCTTGAATGGTTGAACTCACTTGTGCCTTACTCGAGCACGGTACTACACATCAAGAGGGGCAGGAGAGATGATTAATTTGGGCCTGTTGAACATTTCATGACCGCATTGACCGGGGGAAGGTTCCTTCTTGCCTGGGCCTGTTTGACCACCGCCGTTCCGGTGCCCTCTGCCCTTACTGAGGCTTGAAGGCGCAACGGTTGCTGGCCGAATAGTGGTGGTGCGGTAGCTGGTGCGATGGTCTGTAAAGGAAGAGAGGGAGGGAGAGAGGGGGGGGGTAGTAATAATAATAATAACAATGGTAATATTGTAACCTTTCTCATTGCCATTGCACTGGTACCCTTTCCAGGGACCCAATCCCAGCCCTTTGCTCCCCCCCAGCCCATTGTTTACTGCGCCTAGCCAATTTGGACTGAAGGGAGAAGGGAGAAGGGAGAAGGGAGGAAGGGAGGAAAGGAGGAAAGGAGGAAAGGAGGAAGTTGAAGCCAATCCCATATCCCATAATACGATAATCAAGTTCATTCTATTTCGTGGGTTACTACTTCCTCCCCAGAGTTCCTTCTATCGATCTTTCTCCCCCCACACTCGCTCGTTTCGATACAAGGTTTTGGGAGACGAGTTCGGTGCTAGAGGCATCGTCCCGGGAAAACCGCCATACAGGCCGCGACAGAGGGATTGGTGACTGGGGGGTTACTTGTATAGCGGTACCAGCAAATTCCACCTCCAGCACACTCTTTCGAAAAGTTTCTTTTCCCCTTCCCTCCAATAAACACCTCAGCCACTTTTTCCCTCTCTCTCTCATTCGTTGTGTCCTGCGGTCTGCAAGCATCCAAGACGCCCTCTTCCGTCCTGGACACCGAAGAGGAACGCTGACGGGTGCACCAAACTAACACACGGCCATTTCACACACTTTCTCGAGCCCTGCTCATCTCATTTCTTTCTGCCCTTTCCACGCCCTCCTCCCCGTTTCATTCCATTCCCTTCTCTCGTCCCTCCCTCCCCGCAAGTCTTGCTTCGGTCGGTCGTGAGAGTTGCGGAAAGGAACTCTAATCATGTCACAGTTCGGGAATTTTCATGTAAGTTTCTCTCTTTTTCCATCCCTGCCCGCCCCTTTGGTTTCAATGGAATGGGTCGAGTGAGGTCTTGCATTTTCTTTGGCTCATCCACTCATCTATTGCAACCACCGCGCCAAATAGAGAGTGGTAGGGAGAACGAGGGGAGGACTTTAGATGACTGATTCAACGCGCTTGATCAAATAGGACTTTTGTCGGGATTCGACATTACCTGTATGCAACGTACGTCTTCTGGCCTGCCGTCACTTCGGCTACGTTCTTCGTCTACTATTGCGACCGAGGAGGCTTTCTGATCTTGAGTTCTAGTTATTCTATAATGGGGAAAAACAATGCCTGCTCATGGGGTTCAAGGCTGGTGATGGACGCGTAGCAAACTTAGGTTCGTTCTCTTTCTGGCACGCCGTTTTGCTCTTCGTTCTTGGTTCCATGGAATGGCCGATCGATTGTCTGAGTTTATGTGCGACCACTAACGTGGTATCCAATGGTAGGTTCAATAATATTGTGTGTCGTCGCAATCATAGTCTCAGTATTGCTACTGCTGTTATCACAAAAGAAGAGGGCTGCGGTGGGGCGAAGGTTGGTTCTGAACGCGCGTTCTTGTGGAATTTCCGGGGCAGAGTGTGTGGGAGGGGAAGACCCTTGTTAACGAGGTTGCGGCGGGGAATGCAGGGAAATGCAAATATTCTTGATACTCTATATTTTGGTATCTCTGGCGGAGGTGTTTACGGTCGGAGGGTTCCTAACCAATCGAACAGTACTGGTGGTATGTTTTCGAGAAGAGAATAATTTCAGCCCTCGTTACCGGTGGAAAGGTTGCTGATGGATTTGGTGGGGGTATAAAGTGGTTTACTGGCATTCATTTGGGCGCGATAGCAGCAACAGCATGGGTCCTGTTGTTAAACGCTATTGTTGGATTCCAGCTAGTTGATGATGGGACACCGCTATCTGTGGGACTGGTGGCCGGGTCTGCACTTGCATTTTTCATCGGGACTGGTAAGGCGCATTTCATCTATTAGCATTGAGCATTGAGCTTCGGGATCTAAATTGTTTCACAGCATATGTCGCTGTGGACACTGGCTTTGGTGAACCAGGGAACTTTCCTGTCAAAGATCCCGATGAACTGAAGAATTATGCCTTGTACGTTTTGTACCTACTGTTTCCGCTGATAGCAATTGTCGCCTTCTTCTTCCTGGAAGCGTTCTTGGTATTGAGGGTTTTGGGAGAAATAATGCCAATGGGTAAATTATTGATTTATATATATATATCCCCCAGCTCAAGGGAATTAAAGCTAACAATAATATAATAGTCCGTCTGGGGGTTTCAGCATTGTTCTTCGTCATTGGCCAAATCTTCAACTTCATTATTAGCGTTCACCTCTGTGATGTGTCGAACGGCAAGATCGACGGTGCCCTCTTCGAGACATTATTCACATTACTCGCCGTAGTCACCCTGTGGTTCTTCTGGAGCAGCATTACAGAAGACGAATGGCCGGATGATGATCCGATGAACCCAATAATATCCGATTCAGTCTATTCACCGTAAATTACAAAGAAAGAAAAAGATAAAGAAAAGTCGAAAAGCTTAGGTTAGGTTTGATAATCATGTTTCCTTTTTTCTTGTTCCTTTCTTTCGTTTGTTTGTACGAGCGGTGTCTTTACTCGTACTTGACAATGGACCTGTACTAAGACGCATGCATTATTGCAAGGGGGATGAGCATCTCACGAACTACTTACCATTACATCACCACTACCACCACCGCCAAACTCGAATCCGCAATCAAATCAATTAACCGTACACAACTCTAAACTCCAAAACATTTTTCCTTCAGTCTTCTTATTCTTGTTTTGATCTTAGTTCATGTCTTTATTCCTTCTCGTGCAGCAAATGATACTTGTCTGCTTATGATACCCGTCTTGATCTTCCTGCGAGGAAGTCCGGGAGTTTGCAAAGTTCGTGATTGATAGTCTGGCGGGTAAGTGTGCAAGGAAACAAGCAAGTAACCTGAAGCTTGTCAACGCTGAGGCTCCCCGCTTTCATTTTCATTATTTATTTTATTTTCATGTCTCTTATCTCATCTTTGTTTATTTCTGGTCTAGCTTGGTCTGGTCCGGTCCAGCATGACATCCCGACCCACCCGCGTTCAAGGGGGAATCTCGTGTTTACCTCTTTGCTTTCTGGTTTTGGCCATGGTGGAGGAATGGGATGGGTCTGGGATTGTAGATACTTGCTCCTGGAATGGGGGTGTTAGCATGTTTGGGATTTGGGATTATTATTGGAGGGAGGATTAATGCTTTTTTTCTTTTCCTTTTCGCGGAATACCGGCATGTGCCCGTGGTAATGGGCTTTGGCGGTATTGAAGGAAGGAAGAGGTGGCTCGAGGGGAGGTTTTATATTGGTTTCTTTTCTATCCATTGTTGAGGAGAAAAAAAGGGAAAGCTGCCATGAGCTAAGCCTCCCGGGAAGGAGCAAGGCTCCTATCTGTTTCATGGGAGGATGATTGGCATGGATGAATGGATGGATGGGAATGTATCATGTATATGTAGTTACTATTTTTCATTTTTTCGTTTCACCCCCTCCTAAAGACTTGGATGGTCATGCTAGAACATACGTTAATAAATAAACGAATCCTCCTAATCGCTTCTTACTATGCTAGCTTATATGAGATGTAAGACCCGTATCTGTGCTCAAACGCATGTTCTTTGCGTGACAGCTCTTCAGCGGGCCTTTAATTTATTTTGTTCTTGCGGCCTCCTCTTTCCCGTTTATATACCCTTCCTTCCCTCGCCTCCGCTCACACACACCCGCGCTTGAGGAAAAAGCCCTGGAGGAACCAGAATCTCGGGATGAGCAAAGGACTCCTTGAAATCCTTGCGTATTAGGGATTCGTGCTATGGTTTCTCTTGGGAGGATCCCACGGGGGTGGAAGGGGGCGGAAGGGGGGGGGGAGGAGGGGGATGGGAGGTACTGTGGGTATCTCTATGGGGGAGTTAGAGAGGCATTACCGGGACCGCTTTTGTTACTGGGAGGAAGGGAAGGTGGGAAGGGGGTGTTACTTCGGGAGGGGTTGGGGAGGCTGGGAGACGGAGGTCAGATTTGAAAACTTGAATAATAATAAAAGCATAGCACGTTGAAACGAATGTTTGGCGAGGAAATCCCTTTATTAATGTTTTGTTTGTTTGATCGAAAAATTCCCAGTACTGTGTTAGTATCCCATGAAGAACTATTACACTCTCAAAGCACCTCGGATTAGTCTTCATCCCGTCCCTTCCCCATCCAGAGCAAAATATAAGGGGGAAAAAACTCACCAACAACCACGCTAACGTTGACGAGACGCCGACCAGACATTCTTTAGCAGCCCATCCCTCTGGGCAAGCCTGTTGAGCGCATCATCGCTCTCGCCCATGCTCCTGACGAATCCGGAGAGCGCGTAGGTAATGTTCTCGCCATGTATGTAGCGGCCGGACTCATCCACCTTTCCGACCGAGATCTGCACGGATGCATGGTCCTTCGCCTTGATGATGCGGTTTGTGGCGCTGCACTTGCGGGGGACATAGAGGTCGACAACTTCTCCTGTATATTGTGTTAGTAAACTCATTGGTTGGTCAGTTGATTGAGCTAGGTGAAGGAAGATTTGTTTTAAGGGAGGGAGAGAGCTTGCCCTTGTCGTTTTCCATTCTGAAGGGATTGGAGGTTTGGTTTTGGGGAGCTGTGGGGAGAGTTGTGGATCAGTTGCCGGGTGGAATTTTTCTGCGGGGAAGGAGGGATGCTGCTCACAGAGTTCGTTAACGGGTCAATGAGCAAGAAAACAGGCGTGAGGTTGGGTTGTGATGGGTCTTGATTTCTGTTGTTTTGGCTTTAACGTTGAAATTTCCTGGTTGCGGCCCAGCCACCAATTTCATTGTGTGGGGTGGGTCTTGCTGTAGGGTAGGGCTGGGACTGCTGCCTTTCATTCACCCAAGGCCAAAAATAGAAGCTTGGCAGTCATGCCTGAGGGAACAATAGAGAAGTGCAATGAATAAAGTTATGCAATGACACAAACTTCTTGCTATGAAGTAGTTTTCTTCCCTTTCAAATATCCGCCAAGAGTTCCCGCTTCCGGATTCTAATCTTCCCATACCGGTACGGTACCGGTAGTTTAAATTTACCTCATCCACCAGTTTTGTATTCGGAGAAATATTCTTCCACTCCCGAACCGGTGCCTACCGTATGATACTTCTTTTGCTTTGGTAATCTGGGGTTTCCTGAGCAACTTACCCCCCCGATTTTAACTTTCCTTTGACAAGGCGACTACGGCTGCTACAACTACGGCTGCTAATTTACCAAGCCTACGAACGAGCCACGTCTTTGTTAACACATCTAGCAGGAAGGGGAGAATTCTTTGGCCCGAGAGTTTTCTAGAAGGAACATGGCAGATTCAGACGAAGACTACATCGCTACCGACGACGAGGAGATCGGAGCTCACAACATCAGCAAGAGTGGGCGTCACCGAGGAGCTGGGGGTGCGGCAGCAACAGGAGGAAGCGGAGCTCGGTCAAAGAATGGCAGCAAACCCGGCGGTGGCGCGCAGAAGCGAGAACGATGGGAGGACATTAAGAGGTCTTGGGATAATGTTGTTGAAGGGGAAGACGGGAGTCTGTCTTCTACTGTTGCGGGATTGTTGGAAGCTGGGAAACGGAAGAGGTTAGGAAACAAGAAATCATATATTTTTTTTCTTCACTCTTTTCAGGGAGGGAGAATCTAACGATTGGTGAGGGTGTGTGTGTGTTTGACGAGCTAGGCTATTGAAAGATACTACTCCGTTACAAAGGGGTATCATCCGACACCTGATCCTTATCCTCGACCTCTCCTCTGCAATGATGGAGAAGGACTTCCGGCCTACGCGTTATCTACTCTCGCTGCGGTACGCTTGCGACTTTGTCCGGGAGTATTTCGAACAGAACCCCATCTCGCAGCTCGGTGTCCTGGGAATGCGGGATGGGCTTGCGGTACGGATTAGTGATCTGAGTGGGAATCCTGTGGACCATATCGAAGCTATAGGGAAACTCCGTCTGGATGAAGGGAAGGGCGCGCCGTCGCTGCAGAATGCGCTGGAGATGTCGAGGGCTGCGTTATTGTTGGTATTTCCGACGCTTTTTGAGTCAGGTTCCATAAAGAGAGATGAAATGCTAAGTGGTTCTTTATTGATATAGTCATGCGCCGTCACACGGTACGAGGGAGGTGGTTATTGTATTTGGTGCGCTGTTGAGCTCGGACCCCGGGGACATACATCAGACGATTAGCCATTTGGTTGAGGATAAGATTCGGGTTAGTGTTGTGGGATTGTCGGCTCAGGTCGCTGTGTGCCGGGAGCTGTGCAAGAGGACGAACGCTGGGGATGAGGGTATGATTTCTTTTTATCAATTGAGATTGTGATATCTACTAATCGATATCACAGGTGTCTATGGCGTCGCTCTAGACGACAAGCATTTCAGAGAGCTACTACTTGATACAACTATTCCCCCTGTCACACGCTCTGCGAAGATGAGTGCTTCAAGTCTGCTCATGATGGGTTTCCCCTCCCGAATGGTGGAAAAAACAGCTTCATTATGCGCATGGTTCGTCCAATCACTCGTCCCAACTTTCGTAAATACTAACTGACTTTGATACTGCCAGCCACTCGACACTAACAAAAGGCGGTTACCTCTGCTCCCGTTGCTCCACAAAGGTCTGTGCACTACCAATGGAGTGTCCAGCCTGCGGTTTAACCCTCATTCTCTCCACCCATCTTGCAAGGTCCTACCACCACCTCTTCCCGTTGAAAAATTGGGTAGAGGTTCCCTGGAAAGCGTAATTTTCCCACCTCTGAAGCTCCTCCGTCCCTGCTAACCGTCTGCGCCATCCTCCAGAGCATCAAAGTCAACCCACTGCTACGCTTGCCAAATCCCGTTCCCTCACCCCCCGGCGAAACCCGAAGAACTCTCCGCGCCGGCAAAGACCGCTACGGGAACATCTGTCTCGAGTAGGTACGCTTGCACGATATGCCACAATCATTTCTGCATCGACTGTGATGTGTTTTGTCACGAGACTTTGTATAATTGTCCCGCCTGTCAGTCCAGTGTGCCTAAAGGGAGGATTTCTAATGGCGCCAGGGGGAGAAGTGATCCCATGGAAGTGGGTTGAGTGGGGAATTATGGTAACGGCGTAATCCTACGTAGAGCGTGTTTAGATTTTTCCTTTCCTTTCCTTTCCTTCGATCCTTTATCATGGTAAACTGATATGCACAATGTACCATAGGATTTCTTTCCTTTAGTTTGGGAGTTTCTTTTATGCTCTCCTTTGTTTTTCCTTTTCTTTGCCTTTACTCAAATCGGAACCCCCCGATTCACATATTCGAGTATATGAAGCCTCAATCAATGCAAGTAAGCATAAATGAATGGATGGATTAGAGCATAAACATTGCTTGTTTGACCCCACCTCTAAACTTCTCCCTCACCCACCCTACCCTACCCACTAGCATGCACTGTAGGCGGCGGCACGTACTCGAGTAAGGGTAGTCGGTCGGTCATATCACAACCCATTTCAGACCCTCCCATATCTCAGAGGCCCCAGCACCAGCAACATACCCAGATTTCGCAGGAGACGACCCAAATGCTCCGAGATGCGCAGTATCATACGAGTACAGTACAGGAAGTCCCGGCCTCCATCGTGGAGTCTTGATACCAGTAAGTTAGTAGTTATGTGTCCTCACAGATGAGAAGAGGGAAACAAAATCATGCCCGATCCCCTCCCCCCACCAAACGCACCAGCACAACCCTCGTGGCTTGCGCACTGCCGGAGGGTATACTCTGCGTGTGCTGCTTATCGCGCGACATTTGGGGCGTGTCTTCCTGTGCAGGTCGCGGTGGTGCTTGGTGGTGGCGTTTTGTATGATGTTATGATACTTGTTGCTTTGCGGGGCAGGGGGGTTTTTTTTTTGGTCGATTGCTGTGCGGGCGCGATGGGTTGGGTGGGTTGGAGACCGTGGAGGGGGCATAGGGGAGAAGGAGGTTCGTGAGGTGAGTTGAGTGAGGGGTTGGGTGGAGGAAGGGAACACTCTGGGCTTGGGGTTGGGGTTGGGGTTGGGGTTGGGGGTTTTCTTTTTCAATTGTAGTTTTGATTGGTAGGATACGAGGGACTTTACCTGATTGCTTGCAATTGTTTATTTCGGGGGGGGGGGGGTATTTCGTTATTACTTTAATTGTCGAGGTTTAATAGACAGGGCATCATCTGGCTATACGAGATTACAAAATAGATACAATTCCAAAATTCAAGAGAGGAAAACGAGACAAAAAACAAGAGCTAAGAAGACCCGTCGCCCTCCTTCCAGCCACGCCCCGTCATAACGAATATAAGGGATAGACAGCAGAGGGAAGGAAAGAAAGGATTGATAATGGTAATGGTATCATAGCGATGATAAAACAAAACAAAGTAAAAAGTCCTGGCCAGCTACTCGTACAGATAGAAAATACATGGAAGAAAAGCAGGGAGCAAAATACGCTTCTTAAGGGTTTTCAAATGCACATAAGAAAGAAATATAGTCATGTGGGTTGTGTGGCCATTAAAGGATGATAGATGTCTGGTTAGCGGCTAAAGTTATAGTGTTGCGGTGGAGAAGTAGTAGTTGTCCCAGAGGTATTGATAATCCTCAAGAAGACCTGCTATAAGATTGAGAGCAGGCTTGTCGGCTAGTTTGGTGGAAATTGCTTTCAACCAGGGCCTACATATCATGTTAATTTTCCAATAATTGTAACAGGGATTGCGAAGAAAACCTACCCAGTAACATTCTCATAGAATGCGCCTCTGACACCCCACCAGCCCATCCCCCATGCTCTCCTAGTCATCTCCTCTCTCTCCAGTGCGGTCAATCCCTTCATCCCACCAGGAACATTCATCTCAAAGTCTCTCTTAGACAGCTGTCGAGCAGCATACTCCAAGCTGAAACCGATGAGCCAAGGCCTCCACGATTTCTTGTCTTGCGCCCACTTTTTCATGGCAAGGGCATATATGACCGGCCTGATTATGTAAAGAACCTCGGCATAGTAGCCCGTGCCGCGAATCCGATGAAGAAGCTGTGATGGCGGTTTGATATCCTCCGCCGTGAGGACCTTTGTGAGGAGATATTGCGAGATTTGGTTTGTTGCGGGGAGGGAAGGGAGGCAAAGGCCCGTGCGTGGCATTTTCCACGTCTCCTCGGGAGGAGAGGACTCTGGACCCAAGGTTTCCTCGAGCGTCTGGGGATCAATTTCCCGTTCAGGAAGAGGAGGTGTGAGCAGTGGACGTGAGTTTGTTAGACGCAGGAGCAGCAGTCGGCAAATTGCTCTGTCTTCAGGTTAATATTTGGTCCTTTTGGAGGAGGGCGATTGGGAGGACTACTTTATCGCCTCTAGAACAATAACAGCTCTCCAACGCATCTTCTGCCCTCTCCTCTTAGCCGACATCTCCCACAGTAGCTCGGTATACTGTATCATAGTAACGATCAACGCAAGTTTCTTGTAACCGGGGCTCTTTTGTGTCCAAAACTTGGTATAACGATTGTGTGGCGATGGTTTCTGCACGCCAGGGGGTATCTTCGTGACGGCACGAGCCAGAAGCGAGTCATGGTAAAGCGAAAGTATCTGAATGCCGCTATGAAGCGACTCAGATGCTAACTCTACATCCTTAAACCTGGCTGTTCCTTCAATCAGCAAACAACTCGCGTTAGAGCAGACGGGAGATGGCGTTTTTGTTTACCTGGTACGATATAGGTCAGCGACCGTAGTGCTGATTCGATCTGGGAGACAGCGCCAGCGTTCTTTGTGATGAAGTCGCCGTACATGGTGAGGGATGGATGTAGTTTGGAGAAACTGGCCATCGGTGAGAGAGAGACGGGAAGGGGTTATTGATTGTTATAGGAGGGGAATAGCGTGATAGGCTGGGGGGTTGCTACGTGTAGAATGGATGGGCTGGGCCAGTAACTGACCATCCCAATGTCTCTGATTTCCCGATCGGAGATTTTGATCTTGAATTTGAGGTGTTTTTTCTGTATGGCTGGATGTTTGTTTCTTTTTCCCGACGTACCCTTCCACCAACTTTTGGGCTATTTTGAAGTCGTTCTGGTTGGGAGAGGGTGCTCGTTAGATGGGGGGTAACTTAAGGAGTTATTACATACAATTGAAGCTGGACCCGAGGATTGGGCGTAACCTAATTTGGGTGACACTGAGGGAAGATTTGTGCGCACATATGCGCGTATTGGCGTAGAATGTATCCCATACCAGTATCCCTCGGACCTCGCTTGGACAATCGAAGCTTCATGGTCTATCACGCATGTGTGGAATCTGTGAAATCTGTGGATTCTGTGGAATGCCTGTGTTTGGCGCAACTTCCGCGTCTAACTCCGGGTCAGACTCTCCTGGCTCGCTTGGCCCCGAGTGATGGCAATGGTCGTGCGGGTGGCGGCACTTGCGAGTAAAAGACGCTCTGACGCGGGAGAATTCATCATTACGCCAACAACCTCAGCCCCACATCTCTTCTCTTCCGTCCATCTCATCTCCCAGCCATATTTGTCATGATGCCGTGCCCCTGCCCATCCTTGAAATTCTTAAATCTCATCATGACTGATCACTCGCAACATCAGCCATCATCCAGAATCTTAAGCATTCAGAGCCTATCAAACGCAGCCCAAGCCACTCTAACCCAATGTTATCATACGCGGATAGGTTTCAACTGAGTTCCCAATATCGAATTCCACAGGATTTTTCCCATTATTCTATTGTGCAAGTTGCTTTCAAAGTCCAACTGGTAATGACTTCGACTACTGCGGCATGTGCGCCACCATAGACTAACTAATCGATGTTAGATTGCCCACTTACATACATAGCAACCGCTGGCATGCAAACGGACTATGCCCACCTCTATCCACTCGCCCGCTCGTAGTTCCGGAAAATCCGTCCCTGACACCGAGCCCCTCTGGCTATCTGTTTGGCGCTGGGTAAATACCATCATCTCACCATCCGCACTAACAAGGCTAATATCGGTAACGGGCCCGAGTACTTGCTCCGGCCACCCCCCCAAAAAAAAACGAAAATAGCCATAGTACACAAGGTAATGAAGATAATCACAAAAGGAACCAAGTACCATGACCGCACACAAAACGCTCCGATTGATAAGATCGATTCGAAGAAGAGGGAAAAAGGAATAAATAAAGCACTATGCACCTACCCTAACCGCCATGACCTTTTTTCCAAACCTTTTTCCGTTCAATGCCCATTTTCTGCTCTTCGTCGCACCCAGATCAGGGGGTCCAAAAAGAAAGCCCGAGAAATGACGCTGATAGGAAAGAAACAGTGAAAAAAGAAAAAAAGAGAGAATAAAAATCAATGTATCAAGAAAACTAAACAACATTTTCGGAAGATTCCGAAATCAAAGCTTTTGATAGAAAAGGATATACGCCACCTTAGTATCCTTTCCGATGTATCTGGCGCCCTCCCCCTTATTTGCAGTACCGCTCCCATTGGCCGTTACCTCCTCCCATCCATTGACCCAACCGTCATTTTCTTCTCCGTCGGGTATGTTGTGTGATCCGAGGTCCTTAACATCGACTGCAACCTCCTCAGAACGTACCCTTCTAATCACAGTGTCATCAAGTCTGATCCAATTTTTGGCATCTTGACGTAGAACATCCACTGTATAGTGACCACCGCTAGCCGATTTTCCGTGGTGGTAAACAACCCCAATTAGTCGATATTTCGCAGATGGTCCTGCTCTCTGTGCTTGACTCATAGCCTCAGAAGGGATTTGAAGCACCAGGGGATACCCAATCTTTTTCCAAATTTTTTGAGTACCCCCGGTGTTATCATACTGAAATCGTTTGAGATGTAGAATCAGGACAGGAGGAAGAGTTTCAATAAAAACTTGCTTTTTAGCGGCGACGTTGGGGCCCTTGGGTGACTTAAAGTCGCCTTGAATTTTCTCAGGCGTAGTTAGATGTTTTAAAGCGTCGACCACAGATCGAACCTCCGGCGCTTGAATATCTAACTGTAATGGAGTGTATGGTTCAAGTGTGACGGAAGGTTTGAGCGCTGGAACATGGAACACTGATCGAAGTTTTCCTCCAAATATTTTGGTGATAGGTGACTCTGAGATCTCAGTGGTGCGGGTTGTCGCGGTCTTTTGTTTGTGACCAACCTCCATCCACCCGGATTCGTCTGTATCGTCCAGTGAAGAGTCACCGCTTATGCTCGAGGGACCATTTCCATCGGATTTCATCATCATTTTGACCGCTTCTTCATGGAGCCCATCCAACAGAAATCCCAAGAACTCTTCTGCATCTTGCTGATGTCCTCTCTGCAGATAATTAGCAATCCATACATCCTAGCCCCCTGGATAATTGAGGCGGAACTTACCCTCATATGTGCGAAGCTCTTCGTGTTACGTATAACTTCGTAGAGAAATTCTGGCGCGAAAGGCTCTCCTAGAGCATCTAGGTCCTCTTGTTTAGCAGTCATTGGAGTGGCGTGAAATTCGCGCATGAACATTATCCTATACACTATTAGCTACTGCATTCCGAGTGCCACTAGAATGACAAACATGGCGTCAATAAGTGGGGTCTCATTCTTGAAGCTGTGAGCGGCCTCTTTTGCAACACGATCCAAAAAGTAGTAAAAAGGGCCACAGAAAACCAGCATTTGCAAGACCTGTAGAACATTTAGTGCTGGTATCGATGAGTAAAGAGAATGATTTCACTTACAGCATTCATAAAGCACATATTGCCAGTATTGAGCAACCCACGCGGTTCAAGGAACGGAATGGTAAATGATCCGGTAGGCCTAATTTGGAAATCATTTAAGATTTGCGTGATGGACCCTGCTTTCCCATTTGATGTCCCATTAGGTTGAATGACTGCTACTCTAGTGCTCTCAGTATCCTTTACCGGCGTGGTCTTGACCAGCTCAGCCCACGACTTAGGGACTGCGGGTGCAACTGCCGTAGGCGGTGTTGGGGCGGCTTTTGTAGTGGTTTCTGGAGAAGGGGTGGGTTGGGGAGGTTCAATATGGGCTTCCTTGGCCTCCGTGGGCTTTGCTGCTTTAGGAGCTTTGGGTTTTATCATGGGCACAGCTGGTGGTATTAGAGGTAGCGCGGGCACGAGTTTGTGAACGACGGCAGTGCTGGCAGATGGGGGCGCGGTAGATGTTGGTGTGGAGGGGTTCGCAGATCCTATCTCAGACGAGGGTTGCGTGGTCTCCGGGGTAGGTAATTCTGAGATATCTGGCTGCGACCTTGAAATAGCAGTAGGAGTTTCTTGGACCTGTAGATCGACCGGAATATCCGGGACATTCGCAATGTTTTTCGTCGAAATCTCAACATGTTTGGGCAGAGGGCGCCGTCTTCTTCTGGCTGGAAAGATTTCATCGGGGGAGGAGTACCATGGGAGCTAGAATAAGAAAAATTGTTAAGCAAGTGCAAATGAACACGCGGAAATTTGGGAGGAGTACCTCGACGTGTGCCGGCCTAGAGAATTGTACGGGTGCCGGTGGTGGTGGTGGCGGAGGTGGTGGTGGCGGGGGAGGGACTACTTGGGGAACATGGTGAACGGGTGGTAGTGTCGGATAGGACGTAACAACGACCGGGGGAGACGGCACTTGCATCGCTGGGCGTTGAGGTGCAAGACCCATTGGTACGGCCGGAGGCGGAACATATGCAACAGCGCCCTCTCTTCTCCCCCGGGGTTGAGTGCTGCTTGGGACCGCAGGCACCACAGTGTAGTTGTTCATGATTATGCCGGTTTTTCGGGACCACAGGGTCCCAAGGAAAGCAGCTACTACGACACAGTCGGTGTGGCTTATTATTCCACAATGACCGACTGTGTTGAAGTGGCTGCGGAAAAAGCCTAAACGCTAAGGTGAGTCAATTCGAGCAGATGCCGTATCGGGGTGGAGGAGAAGATTCAGGTGGCGGCGAGCAAAGTAATGGTTGATGAAATGTTGATTCGAGGCGAAAGATGACTGCCGCAGCGAGGAGGTTTATTGAAATGCAGCGAGATGGCTTATGCTTTAGGTGGTAGTTGCAGAGCAGGTGTGAATAGCAAGGAGAGAATTTGCGGAGGAGGCGAATGAGTGTTTGTTGAGTTACTTCCTGTCGTCAGATTGAAAGGTGGGAGAAGAGACAGAGAAGGTTTGTCGCTTATTAATTTTGGCTCTTTTCCAGATATGTACTAGTGCGTGTGGATGGGCCTAGGGTTCGGTTTGCTCACCCCGTCCCCAGCTCCCCCCTCCTTGCTCGACTTTTTTTTTTTAAGTTACTGCCGGTATTGAATCCCCATGACTGTTTGAATAGACTTGTGTAGCAGGATGCCACGGGATCAATGAAAAAAAAAGATCAGCGCTCCTTGAGATTTTTATTTTCTATTTCTATTTGATTTGCGAGTGTTCATTGGACTCTCAATGATTGGCACGTGACTAGATGTTTGCCCTCAAAGGGTTAGGCATTCGATCGTGGCAAGGGATACTCGTACTTGCTAGCTAGAGGATCATGAGTTTCTCCAACGGGTAAATTAGCTATAATAGGGACAGGGGAACTCAGTCTATCAGGTAAATGACACCCCTCTGGTCTATTCATTGTACTGTGTTGGTTCTTCTCGGATAGTCTACTGTGAAGTAGTGGAGAGTTCTTGTTGGAGAGATGATGGGTTGCCGGGCCCATAATTTTGTTCGAAACTATAAATTTATTATGTTATCAGCTATAATACCCTTTCTGTAACATGGCTCACTGCCTGAACCTTGTGTGGGGAGGGCTAGTAAACTTTATCTTGATATTAGAGTCTTTCCACACCGAGGTCGAAGGTTGCCTCCCAAGGGTACCGGAACATAATCAGGCTTGAAGGCTCAAGTGCAGCGAATAAAGATTAGAAAGGCTAGCCCAGCCCCCGTTGGGGCCCAGTTGCCAATTTTCTCCGAAAGCTCTCCTATTTTTAGTTTGTATGATGTGTTGAGAGGTTGTCACTTTGCGAGAGGCGATGCTGTTGACCGTTCACCCACAAATTTCAGTTCGATACAAGTGCACAGGTTGATCGAATTCCGCAAGGTTTTTGGGAGGTGCCTGACAGAATTGGGGGCATCTATACAAGTAGATCAGCGATATATTCCATGGTCATTGACCCCACCCGAATTATTCTGGAGATAGTGTCGTTCTTAGACTTCAATGATTGGTATCATAAGGATGATTGAATTCGAGGAATATAGCGAGCCGTGAGTCTAGGAACCCTAATATCTGGTTTAATATCATGCCAAGGCTTGGCCTGTCATATATAAAATTTCTGTTCTCGCCTCCAGGTTGCAAAAAGGATGAGAGACTATCCTGGGCCCTCCCCAGTTAGAATGTTGACGGTGATACCGTGTGCGACACTCCCTTGAACTAAATTTTTAACTTATCTCCCAAAATGTAAATAAATCCGATTCCACAGGAGGTTTGATAAGTCACCCTTTTCCGGATCGATGCTCTATTAGATAAGGGATCCTTCCTCTCGGTGCACCATTACGTGATTTGAAGCACTTCAGGGTGAGAACATATCGTGCCCTCTTGTCATCCCGAAGTATTACCAGCCACAAAGCCATAAGCGGAGCCAATCCTCGAATTGAATATCAAAGTTTCTCCTCAAGCCCATGTTACCGCTTCAACCTTGAATACGCCCCAAGGCGTATTATACCATAGATATCATATAAGAAAATGAGTTTATGTGCTTGAGCAGAATACACGAAGATTGTACTCGACCCTTGGTTTACCCTTGACGCTTGCATTACAACCTTTGCCGGCTGGTTTGGCTCCTATGAAAAAGCAAATGAAACCCACAGGATAGCGCAAAATGTGCGACGGGACCCCGGGAGCCATCTAGACTACATAGGCGCTCCAGCATCGCCTGGTAGTGGTGCAAATTTGCCTTGTGACGAGTGACCATCTGTGAGCCGGATGTTACCGGATTAGTAATAACATGATTTGTATTACAGGAATGCCATTGGTCCCGCTGCAGTACAACGTCTTGAGGCTCCTCATCTATCTCCCCTCCTTCCTTTCTGTCCACCTCAATTCATCTGCGATGATGCTTCAGGGGTTATTGCGGAGCCTGAAGCCTTCGGGCCGACTTCTCGCAACTTCACCGGCGCCACGAAGGACCTTCTCCTCCACTCTACGAGCCTTTGACGAGGTGGAAATCACCATTGACGGAAAAAAGGTCAAAATTGAGGCTGGAGCGGCTCTGATTCAGGCTTGCGAGAAGGCGGGGGTTACTATCCCCCGGTATTGCTATCATGTAACACCCCCTCGACTACTGCTTTAGCAAAAGGAAAAAATATTGAACAAAATATCGGATCAGGAGGCTGATGGCTTCAACAGGAAAAGTTGATGATTGCTGGAAATTGCCGTATGTGCTTGGTTGAGGTTGAGAGGGTGCCTAAGCCGGTGGCGTCTTGTGCTTGGTTGTTAAGTGGGATCTTGATTTGGAAATACACTTACTGACCGTATTACAGGCCTGTACAACCTGGTATGCTAGTCAAGACTAACTCTCCAGTAGTACACAAAGCTCGAGAGGGAGTAATGGAATTCTTGCTTGCCAACCACCCACTGGACTGCCCTATCTGCGACCAAGGAGGTGAATGCGACTTGCAGGATCAGTCAATGCGCTATGGCGCTGACAGAGGCCGCTTCCATGAGATTGGCGGAAAACGTGCTGTGGAGGATAAGAATATTGGACCTCTTATCAAGACATCTATGAATCGCTGCATTCACTGTACCCGCTGTATTCGATTCGCCAATGATGTTGCCGGTGCTCCCGAACTTGGATCTACTGGAAGAGGGAATGACATGCAAATCGGTACTTATTTGGAGAAGAATCTCGACTCGGAACTCTCAGGAAACGTTATCGATCTTTGCCCTGTTGGAGCCTTGACCTCGAAGCCCTACGCTTTCCGTGCGAGGCCTTGGGAGCTAAAGCCTGTCGAATCAGTTGACGTGCTCGACGCCTTGGGATCGGCTATTCGTGTGGACGCTAGGGGGATGGAAGTCATGCGTGTTATTCCTCGATTGAACGATGATGTTAACGAGGAATGGATTAATGATAAGACCCGTTTTGCTTGTGATGGACTTAGGACCCAGCGATTGACTATGCCTTTGGTAAGGAGGGACGACAAGTTCATTCCGGCTACTTGGGAACAAGCGCTCGCGGAGGTTGCGTCGGCCTTTCAGAGGCTTCAGCCTAAGGGCGATGAGGTCAAGGCTATTGCTGGTCACCTTGTTGAGGCAGAGTCTTTGGTGGCGCTCAAGGATATGATTAACAGACTTGGGTCAGAGAATCTCGCTCTTGACCAGCCGCTTGGAAACCAACCCCCAGCACACGGTGTCGATATTCGCTCTAACTATCTATTTAACTCTAAGATCTGCGGTGTAGAGGAAGCAGATGCCATACTCCTTGTGGGAACCAATCCTAGACACGAGGCCGCGGTTTTGAACGCTAGAATCAGGAAACAATGGCTCCGATCTGACCTTGAAATTGGACTTGTTGGTGAGAACTTTGACAACATATTTCATATCGAGCATCTTGGCCAGGACGCCACTTCCCTGAAGAAAGCTCTAGCTGGAAAATTTGGCCAGAAGCTGCTAGTTGCCAAGAGGCCCATGATTATCGTAGGTAGCGGAGTCACAGAGCACACAGACGGAAAAGCCTTCTACGAGATCATTGGTCAATTCGTAGATAAGAATGCCGGCAAGATCATTTCTCCAGAATGGAATGGGTACAACGTTCTCCAACGTGTATGACACCGCCTCCCCGGCTCTACCATACATAATTCTAACATAAACTCAGGCCGCCTCCCGCGCCGGGGCCTACGACATCGGTTTCGTCTCATCCTCCCCCACGATCTCCCAAACCACGCCCAAGATTATCTGGCTCCTAGGTGCCGACGAGATAACCCCCAACGATATCCCCAAGGGCGCCTTCGTGGTCTACCAAGGTCACCACGGCGACGTCGGGGCCCAATACGCAGACGTGGTCCTCCCCGGTGCGGCCTACACCGAAAAGTCCGGGACATACGTTAACACAGAAGGCCGTGCCCAACTAACCAGAGCAGCAACCGGCCCTCCGGGCGTCGCTCGCGAGGACTGGAAAATCATCCGTGCGGCGAGTGAGTTCTTGGGCGTCACTTTGCCCTACGATTCTTTGGCCGGGTTGAGGACTCGCATGGAGGGGATCTCACCGGCGCTGACACACTACGACGTTGTTGAGCCCGCGTCCCTCGCTACGGTGGGCAATAAAGTGCAGATAGTTGATGCGAATAAGGGCGCAGAGGCCGGTGGGGCACCGTTGAGGAGGGTAATCGAGAATTTCTACTTTACGGATGCCATCTCCAGGAGGTTTGTTCCCCTACCTCAGGACTCGTTCCTAGCGGGGCGGTGGCAATGGTATTGACAAAAGTTTGTGTATAGCTCCCCGACAATGTCCAGATGCTCCGCTGCAAAGATGACTAGGAGTGGTATCGAGGCAGATCCCAGCCCTGGAGACGCGGCGTATGCCGCAAGTGGGTAACCCCTTAGATGTCGTTGTTAAATAGAATGAATGCCATCTTTGTTTTTTTCCCTCTCCATTTTTTCCTTGTTAAATTTCTTTTCTTATACTCTTGCAAACCATATAGCTAGTGTGGTGTCCCAGCGTTGGTTGGAAAGGAGAAACAGGGGGAGGGGAGGGCATCCCTTAGTGTAATTATAAACTTCGTTTACATTTGATGTTTTATACCACTTGCTCTGTTGGATGCTGTCGTTGTTATACATTAGACACTTAAGGTTGGTATCATGGAAAAATAATGATGGGGGTGGGGGTCTATAGATACCGGTAGGATTATCAGGTCGTTGCAATCATGCAATAATCTAATATTATGATACCGTGCGTGGAGGGTTTCTCCAAATTCACGTTTCCCCAACTGTCAAAATCAGATCCCCCAAAGTATATGATGAATATTTATCATTCATCGTATTACAATAAAGCCACCACCTTTCCCCCTTTCCCTGAGATCCATAATTTCGAAACATAAGAATGTGTTATGAGAATGTATAAGCCAACCCGGACCCCAAAGGAGAAATGAAAACCTAAATGGGGGAAAGGACGCCCATAACATCACCATCTAGAAACAGAGACCCAATTCCCTCCTTTCTCTCTGTCTCTCCAACATACGAAATGAAATAACGTTAAGATTTAATCAATGAATAAGGTAAAAAAAGTGAAGAGTAAGCAAGTGAAAGGAGAGAGAATGGGAAATAAAAATGAAATAAAAGATAAGACCCTGCTTGGCACACAACGAATATCGCGTTTTTTAGATTTTCATGACATTTTTGTTGCAAATAAAATATTTTAGCATTGCACTTTGGTTACAGTAAGCTTGCGGGCCCCGTGCTAGATTTTTGTTTTGATCACCGCTATCAGCAAGGCAGCTGCTCTGTAGGTATGGCTTTTTTCGTGCTCTTTGGTCAAGAGAATTTGAGCTTTAGCAAGGATCGAAACTGCAAGAATAATGGCGTTTCCTATATCGCACCGTGCCAAACAAAGCCTAAGATAATATGGGACATCCCAGTTCTAGTGGGGGGAGGAAAGGCGAAAGAGTATAGAAACTAGTAGGTGGAAGTAGGACTCTCCCTATTTTGTGAAGAAAAAACAATAAAGAAAGGACAGGAGAAGTTGAGAGGGGAACAGGAAAGGCTACTCCGGTGGGATGTATTCCGGACTAACTTGTCTAATAAATGGCGCGTTGCTTGGTGGGAGAGGATGAGGCTTTGGTCCGAGGTACTTGGACTTAATGGCAGTCATTTCTTTGCAAAATTCTGGGTTGGATATGCAATTCATTGCTGCGCGGAGGGTTGCTTCACTGTTTTCTCAAAACGTTAGCTAGATGAATGGATTCTACTCGAGTATGTATTATGGGGAGAAAGAAAGAAGGGAGTGAGATATAGTACCCTTTGTTATTCCCCCACCCGGATCCAATCTCCCTCTTATTAAAGCCCCAACCAGTCAAATACACTGTGATCCAGTAACCGCCTTTATTCCCGCCTTCCCCGTCGGTCCATACGTATTCCACTGTAGCTCTATTCCCCCCAACGATAGTATTCAACGTCTGCTTCGCCATTTTGTCAACCGGACCAACAGACGCATGCTGGGTCTCCATCTCCTTCAACTTCGGCTCGAACAACTCCGTAAGCCAACGCTGTGCAATGTCCACGCCGTTCGGGGAGTCGAGCACAATAGCAGCTATGTATGCTTCGAAACAGTCCGCGAGGGTCTTGTTGACGCCCATGTCCTTGTAGGTTCCGCGGGAGTTGTGGACTAGAGCTACAGGTGCTGCTGTGTTCTGGCCCTTGGACTCACGAACTTTGTCATGAAAGCGGTAGATCGTCGCGTATGTGGAGAGGGGCCTGTTAGCAACTAGTTGTTGCCGCATATCAGAGAGGGGACCTTCGCGGAGTTTAGAAAAGCGGTTATAGAGGATTCGGGAGGTGATAGATTGGAGGTAGGAGTCGCCAAGAAATTCTAGACGCTCATAGTGTTGCTGTTCGATACCCGGTAGGCCGGCGTCTTCCCCTTTGATGAAGGACTTATGTGTAAAGGCTTGCTGACGGAGTTCGTCGCTGTGGATCTCCGGGAGAGGAGGGGGCCAGGAGGAGAACGAGGGGGAGAGCAAGGCTGGGTCTGTGGTTGATGGCGGGGTATATGTTGAAGGGGAGCTGTCAGAGGCTTTGGGAACTGCGTTTTTGAGAGGTCCTGTTGGGTTGTTTCCATTTGCAGGTGGGGTTTTCTTCGACTTCTCTGAATTCCCCCGCGCCTCCTTTGCCTTCTTCATGTATTCATCTAACCACGGCAGATCTCCAGTCTCGAACATCATCCGCACAGCCGTAAAGAAGTTAGCCTTCTCGTCACCAAGACATTTCTCCATGTTAACGTTAGGAGCCGCTAGGATGAGCTCCGCAAAAGCGGAACCAAAGGCATCGAACTTCTGGGAGATATCTAGAGCTGGTGGCTTGCGAGCCGAGCAAACATCACTGCTGAAGATGGAGGATTGAGCACGGCCAGACTCATCAGCTTCGTGACGCTGTTCCTGTCTTCTTTTCTCATCTTGAGGCAAACCCTTCGTTTTCGGGATGCCCCACGTGAGGTAATCGGGGCAACCCTTTGATCTCTTGGACTCCTTTCTCGACGGGCTGCTGACGGTGATAGCGTCTGTATCGTCATGCCTTCGTTTTCTGCTGCGAACCATTTTGATGGAGGCGTTTTGTGGGGATGCTTCAAGGAGCTTGGAGTGAGGCGGTTGTTGGTAAGGCGGGACTGGTTAAGTTAACTCGAGCTGGTTGCACGCAAATCGTAGGAAAGCCCAATTAAAACAAGAAAAAAAGGGCCCAACCCCACCCATTGTATGTTAATCCAATCCAAACTCCAAACATCATACGAGAAATTTTTAATGACGAATGGTATCATAATAATTTAGGAAAAAGCCAAAAGGGCTTCTATTTCAATGCTACTTACAGAAAAGACCTGGGAGGAAAACAAATGAGAACCATGGAGGATAAATTTTACAGCGGTTTAGGAGATACAGGTGGAAGGGTGGGGGGTAAACGTGGAGGGTTTGATGAAGAAATTGACGATCGCTTTGTAATTGACTAGGTAAAAGATAATTCGCACAAAAGATATCTGTCTGTCCGTACCGTTTTATCTTTTCTTTTTTTCTTTTTTTGTTCTTGTTTCAATAGCATCCCCCGAATACTAAATCGCATCCACCATGAAAACCCCCCACAACGCGATACTAAGAGACTGAGTATCAGTTCCGTGCAGCTCCCTTGCCCTTATAATCCGGCGACGCATAGCCGGTAAGAGGCTCCACCTTCTGTTCCTTGAGGTATTCGTCGGTCTGCTCTTGCCATTCCCGGTTCACAGTCTTCGGGGCAGGTCTTGCCATGAGACGGGTACCGTAGAAGAGAGCAAACGAGGCAGCAAGACCAGCGAGGGTATAGTAAAGAACCTTCCTGCCCTCATCTGCGGGGGGGATGGCGCGGGGGCCGTGAGGACCGAAAGCGATCCAGTAGGCTGTTTGTAGTTGAGCAGTTAGCGAGCGAAAATTCCGGACCAAGTTGTAGATATCCGGAGGACGGAAAGGGAAACCTACAGGCTTTCTTTTCCTGCAGAGTCAATTCACCCCAGGAACCCTTCATTCTATCTCTCAAAGACATCCATAAATCGGCCTGCTCGTTCGGAGGCATGGACTCCCATCTCTTCTCGATATCGGCGAGGGTAACGTTCGATACGGCGTGACTAGCGCTGCGGGATTGGACGACTCCGGTAGCAGCAGGAACATGACGAACCAGGACAGAAGTAGAGGGAGAAGCGGGGACAGCCAATCTTGCGGCCCGTAGGGCTGTGTTGCGCAACATGGCTGAGAATTCTGGTATCTACAGAGAGAAGGAAACGAGGGGAGATTGATGTTCTGGCTGATTGCGATGATGGGGGGTGTGTTTTGGGGAGGGATGTTTGATGGTCGGAAGCGGGTCGTATGATTGTGGGATGGCAGAGAGTAGACGCTTCCCTCCACCGGTAGAGCAAGAATGGAAGCGAACGACCGTCGACCAAAACCTCTGGCCAGGTAATACCGGCGCCGGTACTTTAGTTCAGTGGGGGAAAACAGCGACAATTATATTGTTTCCATTATTTTCTACCAGATACCCTGAATTCTTGCGATAAGCAGGCGTTTTAACGGGCATCGATCCCAAGACTCTGCACAACATATGATACCGTATGTATGTATGTACCGGTATATATGTATCTATATGTACGCATGTAAGTTGCTTATTCCCATCCCTTTCACTGGCTCGCCCGTAACTGAGGGATTGCAATGAAAATATGGGTGGGTACAGCACTTGTACCGGTACCATACTCGAGCACAGTGCTGGTGGGTCTACTCGTATTCGTGTGCGGTGAGAGATTCAGACCACAGCAAAGTACTCGTCTAGTACTTGTACTGGTATACCCTACATTGCCAATACTCGAGAACAGACTGGAGGGCACAGACGTTGGCACCCGACTTGACTTGACTTAACTTAAGTCGCCAGTGGCTTGGACTACGGGTAACTTATTGTTTGCCTTTCCAGCGAGGACGCAGATCAGCCGTCATTTTCATTGAATCCACCCCACCCACGACCCCACCTGCCACCGCCAATTCGTCACTCAGCTGAGACACCAATGCAAGCATCTTGCCTACCGGTATTGCACTCGCACTCGAGTACAGTACTACTCAAGTCATACCCGGTACCTGTAGCCTGCAGCGGGTCCTTACTCGTAAAAGTAGGAACGCTTCAATTTCAAAAGAATAATGATCGTCCCTCCAGGCACCGGTGCTGTGCGAGATTAACCTTTCGACGTACTCGAGCACTGCAGCTCTTTTATGCTTTTGGCACCTTTAGCGGTTTGGGGGGGGAAACAGTACCGGTAAACTTGCCCCTTACCTCCGATTTTGGGGGGGACGACTGAGTGACCTAACCGGGGGCAGCTGGGTGACACTTGCTGACATCACTGCCAGGGTGTGAACAATCGTAGTATGATAGACTACCGGTATCATAGCAATACTGAGTGCGCCTGGGAATGCCAACGGACCGCAGTGAATCAGACTACTGCGAGTTGCGTTAACTCCGCGGCGTCCCGGAAGGAAGGGAAGCTTCCAATGTACTGGCACTGTGCATATATACGGTATGGTACCGATACTTGCAGAATTCGTGCCTAATTCGGAGTGATAGTTGATTTTCGATGGCATCTTAAATACGCTAGCGCTCGAGTGAACTTGATAGAGTGGTACAGTAGTAGCAGGTAATTAGCTTCTATGATAGAGGAACTCCTGGACAGCACACATATCCGAATACTGAAACGCGTACAGCACTCCCGCGGCCCACACATGCAGCCGATAACTTATCGAGGTGTGATGTGAAGGGGATGACGCTATGCTTCCTCCCCGAAGTGCAGCAATAGTCTACCGGTGGTAGACTACGGGTCAGCTTCAGGATTTCCCTCCAGTCCATCCTGAGTGCATAAAGTCTCTCCCTCCCGTCCCAAGCTTCAATCCCATAACTTTCATCGCATATATCACTAACTCACAAAGGTTTGTCCATTAACCCGATAACTCAAGCTCGGAGGGCTCCAGGGGGCAAACTGACCTGGACTCAGAAATAAGTTGCATCAGCATTAGCAGGCTCCGTAAGATGGTTGCCAAAATTGGAATCAAGTAAGTCCAATAAGTGATTGTTCTTTATTTAGCCATGGTACTGATGTGTATCACAAAGTGGTTTCGGGCGCATTGGCCGTATCGTGAGTTTTCCATGGCTAGCGATTGAGCTGACATGGCCTCTGAAGTACGCGAAAGCATTCTTGGGCTGATACTGGCGAATTGATTGTTGCTAGGTTTTCCGTAACGCGTAAGATCTTGATTATCCCACTCTCACCCTCATTTCTGTTCCCCTGTTTCTTTGACGGGGCGGATTATTTTACGGGAAACGACTGAGCTGTGTCTGCTTGCCCCTAAACAGCGCCTACTGACTGAACGGATTATCAGTATCGAGCACGATGACATCGATGTCGTGGCTGTAAACGATCCATTTATCGATCCTAAATATGCTGTAGGAGTCCCTCTGTCTGCTCTAGTTGCTTTTGCGCAATACGTTATTGAACGTTTGAGCAGGTTTACATGCTCAAGTACGATTCGGTTCATGGAAACTTCAAGGGAGATATTTCTTCAAATGACTCTGGAGACCTAATTGTCAATGACAAAATTGTTAAAATGTATTAGGAGAAGGATGCGGTAAATATCCCCTGGAAAGACACTGGAGTAGAGTATATCGTTGAATCCACTGGAGTTTTCACTACTACTGAAAAATCTAAACCTCACTTGAAGGGTGGCGCCAAGAAAGTTGTTATGTATGTTTTTGCCCAGGGTTTATGAAATTATGCCGTGCCTGCTGACGGAGAATATAGAGCTGCACCTTCGGTATGAGTACTCTGAGAGCACATATTTGCGTTGATACTGAAATGCTTACTCGGCACAGGCCGATGCTCCTATGTTTGTTTGCGGGGTCAATCTTGCAAAATATTCTAAAGACGTTGAAATCCTTTCCAATGCTTCCTGCACTACCAACTGCTTGGCTCCGTTAGCCAAGGTTATCAACGACAAATTTGGGATTGCTGAGGGATTGATGACCACTGTTCATTCTTATACCGCTACCCAGAAGACTGTGGATGGGCCTTCGGCCAAGGACTGGCGTGGAGGCCGAGCTGCTGCGACCAACATTATTCCTAGTAGCACTGGCGCAGCCAAGGTAATTGTTTGATTGGGTATCCAATATGGACTCTTCTGACTATCACAGGCTGTTGGTAAAGTTATACCAGAGCTTAACGGGAAACTTACGGGCATGGCTATGCGTGTGCCTACCCAGAACGTGTCTGTGGTTGATCTCACAATTCGTCTCAAGAATGGCACCAGTTATGATCGGATCAAAAAGGCTGTTAGAGAGGCCGCTGAAGGGCCTTATAAAGGAATAATTGCGTATACCGAGGATGAGCTAGTGTCTAGTGATTTGAACGGTCACGAAGCATCTTGTATTTTTGATGCGAAAGCAGGGATTCCATTGAATGAGAATTTTGTCAAGCTGATTGCTTGGTACGATAACGAATGGTAGGTTTCTTGGGAGAACGCCCTTACAGGACCATGTGAATATGACTAAAATATCGTAGGGGCTACTCTCGTCGGGTTCTCGACCTCATCTCATATATCGCAAAAGTTGATGCTAAATAGATAGGGAATACCTTCAGTTTCTCTATTGCTTGAATTTTGTAGGGTGTTATGCTCGATAGCTGATAGCTTATAGGCAATATTTGCCTCTATGTTCCTATATAAAATTAATGTGTTTAAAATGCAAAAATCGAGACTTGCCTCTTTCAATCTAATTATCAATTGCCACCACTACCAAATAAGAAACAGCACTCAGTTTCTGTTTCGATATCGGGAGATAAAACTTGTATAATTCACTTATACACTCGAGTAGTCGATAAATATATTCGCGTTATCGCTGCGAATTGCGACGAGAACTTTCACCAAATTTTTGTTATCAGAAATATACATATCGACCGCTACCTGTAAATGCCGAGCCGTTTGCGGTACGCGGTGGATATATACTAGAATATGGACATAACCATAGTATCATACCAATTAGTACAAATACATGAATTGTTTGGGCTTTTGTAATACATTCATAATGGTAAGGTTTACAGGTCTCGATATTTGTACAACTATCTCTATTAGTGCGCTTGTGAGCTCGCATTTGCCAAAACCGCGTTTCTATTCCTAGTACTGTACCTTGTTATCGGAGTGAGTCACATATATAATTTATAGATATTCCTTTAGTTTTTGTGAGGTTTCATGTATTATATGATGTATTGCAGTAGTATTAAAAGAGGATATAGCAGCAATGCATGCTCGTGTCCGCAAAGTTCTCGTAACAACTGATGTACCGCAAAGTCTTAACAGTCTTCAACTGGCGTGTTGCGGAAAAGCTATTTGATGGGGGAAAAAATGCCAACGTCTTGTACGGAATCTGCCACTACCAGATCAATAATTCTCAAAAAAGAGTCATTCATGTCCTGATATCTTGTGCGGGAGTTGGTAGGTTACAGTACTTGAGGTGTTACGAGAGCTTTGCGGATGCGAGTGTGCTTGCATGTGTGAAATTTTGCTAGGATTAGCGCAAACTTGGAATAGTACAAGTATGATACTTGTAAAATCCTATCTATTTGATTCTACTACCAAATCTATTACATGAGTAGGTATCCGAATACAAACCTTTTCATGGGAAAAATCGTAACATCCGATCGCGACCTGCTTAATAATTCTTTGAAGAGTAACTGTCATGAAATTAGGGGATTTTTAAGTTGCTTTACCGCTTACAATACTCTTTGCACCGCATAGGTTAGTCATTCTGTTTACTCGAGTGCTTGAAAAAGTCGCTGCAAAGTGATATTGTTCTATAACTTATCTTATTCCCTCCATCCCAGGAAACACGTAACACCCAATATTGAATTTGCCTTCAGTCCGAAATAGACTTTTAGGGTTAGGGTTCAAATTCAGAGTCTACAATTTGAAAGTGAAGGTTGCTGCCAAGAAATTATTTACCTTACACTGGTTGTTAAGAACCTAAACCTCACGACAATTTGGTCAGTTACGATTGCCAGTCGCAAGCGCAGTCGCGGAGCCCTGTCTCATAACGCCCAGCGAGCCGTAAAGCTGTAAGGGTTTCCTACAGCTTGGCGAAAATTTTTGTAACCTGGATATAAACTCTCGGCGCTCCTTTTCCTCCCATCCTCCTCATCCACCAACGGTCTCATAACCCAACGCCCTTACAAAGACAAGATGGCCACTGGTTTGTGTTACGACCGTCGCATGACTAGTCATCGTATAATCGAGGGTGAACACCCCGAAGATCCTAAGAGGATTTCTGTTATATACGAAAAGATTGTCAACTGCGGGCTTGTCAATGATCCAGAATTTTCAGGAACAAGCAATCCCGAGAACCCCGGATTGATGGTTAGAATTGAGGCCAGGGAGGCAACTGAACGTGAAATCGGCTTGATTCATAGCCGTGATCAGTTTGAATTTGCCCGAGAGCTTGAAGGTGAGATAAATGGTTCAAGTGTTTGCTTCGGGAATGTGCTAATATTGTCTTCTTATGATAGATCATGATGACGAGCAGTTAATCATGATGACAAATGAGGCTGATTCGGTTTACTTTAACCAGCATACCTTTATGTGTTCTAAGCTTTCTTGCGGTGGGGCAATAGAAACTTGCCTTCGAGTTGCTCAAGGTCACGTAAAGAATGCAATTGCGGTAGTTAGGCCACCTGGCCACCACGCGACTCCTGACTGCTCAATGGGTTTCTGTATCTTTAATAATGTCTGTGTATCCGCTAAGACTCTACAAGAGAGGATGCCTGATATTAAGAAGATTCTAATTCTTGATTGGTGATTATTCTTCAATTTGCCTAAAATTTGTAGGGAAGAGGAGGTGATCAGCATTCTAATCATTTTTTCTTGGTTTGCTTTTTTAGGGACATTCATCATGGTAAGTAAAAACAAGATAGGAATTCATTATTAGTGCACTATAGCTGATTTTTACTCTTTTTACAGGAAATGGTACTCAGGATGCCTTTTATAACGACCCATCTGTTTTATATATTTCCCTTCACAGGTTCGAGAGGGGAACATTCTATCCGAACGACCCTAGGGGAGATTCTACATTCTGCGGGTCGGGACAAGGTACCGGATTGTAGGTCTTTCCCTCCCTTCCAGTCCAATCACCCTTGCATACGCTCACTGCTTCAGCAATGTAAACATCCCTTGGACTGAAGGTGGTAAGCTGGACGGCGATTACATATATGCTTTTCAAAAGCTTGTAATGCCTATAGCTTTGGAATATAATCCAGACTTTGTTATTGGTAAGCACTCTGGTATTTCTGCAGATATTTTTTAGCTACCGCCGAACCAAGATCTGATTATCGAAATTCCGACTTAAACAGTTTCGGCTGGATTCGATGCGGCTGCTGGTGATGAGCTCGGGGAGTGTTACATTACTCCTGCTGGCTTTGCCCATATGACCTACATGTTAATGAGCCTAGCAAAGGGCAAAATGGCTGTTTGTTTAGAAGTAAGTTATCAATTTACTTATTTGAATAGGTTCTCATACAGCTTATAGGGAGGATATAATCTATCCTCGATCTCAGATTCTGCCCTTGCTGTCATAAAGGTTTTGATGGGCCAAGCGCCTGAGAAGATCCTGGACCCGGTAGCGTCCCCGGCGGCGGCAAATGTAGTACAGCAGTGTATCGATATCCAAATGAGATACTGGCGTTGTTTGCATTCAGCCGGTTCATTAAGTCCAACTCCCTTGAAAACTCTTATTAAATAAATTTTTACTGATTGAGATGATTAGGGGCTTCCGAGAGAGGTAATGGGCTTTCCCTAGATGGTTAGAATATACCCATCTGATTAGGATCGCACTTTCGCTAATAACTTTTAGTTGTAGTACGTGCGTGGCAAGAGAAAATTTTATGGGAGAAGTATAAGATGTCATCAGCACCAGTCATGCATCCGTCGGGTCTTGTGTTTGATAATGCGCTGCTGATGTCGTAAGTTCCCCTGCCTCTCAAACTTATTACCCACTGTGGTGCATTTTGTGAGCGAGCTATAAAGCTACCGAATTGGTTGAGATTGCTGTCTTAGAATTTAACAATATTTTTCTGGCGGCTATAAGGCCAGTAGTAAGTAATTGATGCTAACATATATTAGGGAAAATTGCCCTACCGCAAAAGTTATTGTTATGCTCGTACACGAGCCGTAAGTATTCCGCAATCAGGTGCATAAATTCAACTAGTGGCTAACTAATTCTGTGATTTAAGGCCAAAAATACATGCTACCGTGGATACCAGAGATTCGAAGGAGCTCAATTTGGATGATCTCGAATTGGTAGCTTTCCATTCATCTATCTTGTCTTAATTATCAAAATGTTTCTTGTTCTGCTAATATAGTAATTTCTGTAATGCTGAAGATTGATCCCGTTTATTTTTATATTCGTTGGGCCTTTGAGCAGCAGTTCGGAATAGTGGATGTTAGTCTTCCACCACAACAGCGGCCCCAAGCGGTAAGTATCCTAATAATCGAGTTAGGTAAGAATGAAGATATTAAAAACAAAAATTGGGTTTTTAGAGTAGCACGGCAAATGCGTTACGGGGACAGTCCGAATCCCTTTGTGAATACCTTTGGGACAATTATATCGAGTACTCCATTCCTCCATGTCCCCATAATTTTTTTCTACATAATGTATTATGTGGATTTTCCTAATTTCTAACCTTTGATCTCCCTGCGTACAGGCTCCAAAACGCGGAAAATGTTTTGTTAATCGGAGTTGAAGATGGAGTTTCGGGTATTCTTCATATGCTTACTTCCAGAAGTATGAAAGTTATCCCCATTTATAGTAATTCTCTATTAACGTACTATAAACTCTAGAGTGCGAGAAAAAGGTCAAAGCCTGTGTAGGTTTTATTTGTACCGCAAACATGCAGTCCATACTGTATGGTGGTGTTAAAGATCAAGAACTCACAGAGTGGTACTTCAATGTACGTACTCTCTTCTCAGCTACTTGCTTTAACAGCTAACATTCGAAACTAATCTTTCCTCTCAAAGACCTCGTTACTTTTCGTTGGATCCGATCATCTTTACTGGGATGGTAACAAATCCCGTCGTAAGAAGTATGGTAATTGCAAACTTACTGGCGGAGATGTTATTTCCACGGTTATGTTGAATTCCCAAAAGGAAGCAGCAAGCTTTATGTTGAGCAAAATAACCGTTAAGGCAACTGAGAACGACGGCAACAACGGCCATAATGATAATAAGAATGGCGAAGAAGAGGAGGGAGAGATTATCGAAGGACAGATTGCGGCTTAGACTGTCGCTATATTGATATCCTTTCGCGTATAACAGTTTTTTTCCTTTTCCTTCTCGCTAATTATACTTTTCCTTTGTTTTGATCCATCGGGTTGGAGTCGGCAGTTTCTCTTTCCTTATGTCATACATGGATGGTTGGCGTTACCACTTAAAAGTTTTATCTTTTCTTTCTTTCCTTTCCCTTTTCTATCCTACCCGCCGTGCTCCTGTACCGTACCGGTATGCCATATCCAGTTCTGCAGCTGTAATTCTGGAATTTGCGAATGATGTTATATGACGTGATTTGATATAATGTAACATGTGTAGGTTGGTGGACTTGCTTGAACCATACCGGTATGTCGAGCCATAACAATATGTTGCTCATACTTGGTATCATATCTCAGAAAGCAAGCGAGAGCAGGAGGAGAGAGAGAGAAGGAAGGGACGTTTTTTTTATAGGTTAGAGACCTGAGCTAAAAGCCCCCCTCTAGCACCTTCCTCATCCCCTCGACAAAATAGCAAACACCATACCCGCAACCCCAGCACCTAATCACGAACTAGAATTCATGCGCTCCAGGAACCACAGACTATTTAAAGCCAACCCCTCCCTAGCAGGAACGGCCACCCCACCCCCAGCGCACAATGTGCTCGTACAGCAACTCCCGACACGAAATGTCCCGCAAGCGTGAACTCAATTCCTCTCCCTTTGTCCCCCGCGGTCCGCATCGGTGCACCGCCAAGCACATGGATTTCATTGTTGGAGTACCGTATTACCCTTTACCATTAACCGACAAAGGTTTTCTGGAGCGTTTCATTGGTTCTTTGTTTCTGGCTCTGGCCTTGTCTTGTGTGTGCGGTGAAGACAAAGGGTGAGTCTGCGAGCTCTTGCGGTTGAGGACTGGTGTGGATCTGGTGATTCTCGCTGCTGTGTGCAAAAGCTTTTTCTGGCCTGCTTGTTGGGTGGGGAACTCGACAACCTTCGGTGTGCCGGACTGGATCGTGCATGTCGTAGTGTAATGAAATGGGCGGCTTCGCGTCGGCGTTTGGATGGATTGCGTGGATCTCGGCGGGCTAACTTATATCCCCGGATATTTCATGGGTAAAATGCTGCTGCTGGATGTTGGGAGGTTATCGGTCGGATTCGGGCAGATGAAAGCACGATACGCGGTGTTATCGACGACTGAAATTCGGGATTTGGAATCCAAGTCTAATGGAAGTCATCCAGTGATTTTGGAATGGGTCGGCACGTAGGAAGTATTTTTATCTATTCTCACACAATTTAGGATTCCTGTAATGAGGTGTGGAATGAAAATTGTGCATCACCACACCATCGTCCGTCATGGCGGAGGAGAGAGGGGAATATATAATATTATTATTATATAATATATGATTCTTGTATATACAGCTTGCGTATTATGGACCGCGAGCCAGAGCAAAGTGAAAAAACAGATGAAATGAAAAATAAAAAACCGAGCTAGCACTACCTTGTATTATTATATGCATATCGTCCAATATGGCGCCTAGAAGAACTTAACTCCCATCTCCTCGTTCGCACCAAATACTTGTGCGAGACTACGTTTGACGAGAAAGTCGAGGGCTTTACGGAGGACGTATGGGTCTATTGTGTGGAACTCTGTGCATGCCGAGTTGTCAGCACACGAGGGGGGGGCGAGAGAATGGGGGGGGGTACCTTGATTCCTGGTGAGATCCCCTTCAGATATCTCGTAAAGCGTGAGTACGCTTCCTTTTTGTCCAGTGCTATCGATCTATCCACCCCATTCATCAGTACCTTCCCATCCCTGCTAAAGGCGTGCGTGTGGATGCAATCACCCATTCATAGATAACATTAGCCCACTCTTCCGGCTTCCTCCAATACACTATCGCCGTAGCTTTCCCCACACCTTCCCACTCCACGTCGCCCTCCGTTACCATGTACTCCAAGAGTTCTGCTGCATCACGTTGCTTGAATCTGCCTATGTGCTCCGTTAGCACACATGTCCTCTCTCGAAGGGGGAGGGAAAGGAGGACCCACGGTTGAGATTTCTGTTATAAAATAACTCAGTCTCGAGTGCGTCGCTGAGCTGTAATTTCCAAATCTTGTGCGCGCGGCAGTAGGACAGGACCCAGGCGGCCCAGATTGAGCGTTGATGGGCCCATGTGGTGTCGTTGGGCTGTGTATTTTGTCTGGGTCAGCGGTGGTGCAGCACGCTCTACGGGGAAGAGGAGGAATGATATCTTGTGAAGAAGGCGGGGAACTCGTAGAGTTCTGGGTACTCAAGGTTTGGGGGTTTGGGTTTTGTGAACATTGTGGCCGTTGTTGTCATATTAGAGCTCTCGGACGGAGCTATCAAGTTTCAGGGGATGGGGGTGCGTGCCTGCGTGCCTGCGTGCCTGCGTGCGGTTGACTCGGTTGGTTGGTTGCGGGTTGGATAGTGGGGCGGAATCTCTACTACGGTGGAAAGTGCCTAAAGGTGGGTCCTCCGGTGAAACAGGAAGTCCGTGGCAACCGATCGGAATTGAGCCCGGAATTGCCAAGACAACCATGCAATAATACACGTGCTGGCAACCATACTATACGATACTATAGATTGGTGAATAAAGCAAAAATCAAGAAATTTATTTAAGAAGCAAAGGGTTTCTAAGAGGATACTTCAGTTAAAGATACACGACAATGACTTTTATATACAGTATCAGTAAATGGAGTAGTTTCATACTTCAATCCAGCATAATATGCTTCAAGTATTCAAGTACTCTTCTACCAGTATTTGAGCAGTAGAAGTGAAGGAATTTCCTGTAAAGCCTTTGGTACCATCTTGACCAATGAAGGCCAATTATACTGGCAGTTCTTCCTCATGTACCATTTTGCTCTTCCCTATTGGTATTAAATTCAATTTAGTTCACAGTGAAATTTGGGAAAAACATGCAAAAATGGCCCCTCTTCTCAATCTCCTTTCGAAGACGTGACTTTTGTTCTAAAAAGTCAGGCTGCACTGACAGTAGGCGTCTTGTGCAGCAAGAATCACCAAAATGACTTCTGTCTTGTTTGTTCTTCCTGCTCTTACAGTCATGTCTTAATCCATTTTCTTACCATAGGCCACATTCCTGTAAAATTCTCTTGCAACCTTTTACCTTACCTCTCCACTTTGATAGAATAGAATAATCATCTATATCAAAGCTCATCTTTTGTATATATAGTATGACTTCATTGGGTTTATAATACTATCTCTCTTGAAGAGAAGGCTGTTTTCCACCAGGATCCATATTCATATGTGATGTACGAAGTGCATCAGGTGCATCCGCTGTATGGGAGGTGCCATGGTTGAAGAGAAAAAGTGCCTGAGCTTTGGAGAATGTAGCTTTAAAGATTGGAATGGCGATATTGAAGACCTGGTCTATTAAGTTGTCACCATTCCACAGGATCCTTTACCAACTTTGATTTATTCAGTTGCCTGTCGGGGATTGATTTAAAGTCCTGGAATTGGTTCAAGGTCATGAGATTGTAGCGCTATTGGTAATGGATTAGAGGAGAGCATTTCCAGCTGATTGCAGAGAAGAATAAAGTTAGAAACCATTAGACCCTGCCCTTTGGACTTCTTGCGAATTAGGTGCTTATCCTTGTGAATCCAATGATAGTGTACACCATTATTTGAATGGAAAGTACACTCATCATGAGTACAAGAAATTAGCATGCACTTTCCAGGTGGTAATAATGTTCAATTCAAAGCTCTAGATAGCAGCTATTTAGATATATGCTTCTTCTATTGAGGAAGAAAGTACTGCTGGCGGTAAAAGGCGACATTGGGCTTCTCATGCCTATCGATATATACTCCTTTACGAACTTCTTTCCATTCAAAGCCTAGCTTTTTCAGCCAGTGAATGGCGGTCGATGCAGTAATACTCATTTTGCCCTGAGTATGCTTTTCAATTAGAGAATCATAGATACAAGAAATACGAAGCTCAGCATCAGCCTGGCTAGTTCGTGTAGTTCAATACTCTGTTACTGTTTTGGTAACTTCATGTTCAGATATATCTATAATTTCATTTCATTCTATATTAGTTTCAAGATCAATGAGTTAAAGAGATTAAAGAATATAATATACTTTCACCTACTCCTTCAAAGTACTCACATACTGCAATCAATGTTCCCTCATCATTAAGCATACTTTGCGACTTTGCATGCTTGCCACTCTGACTGGATATAATAGTTCTCATTTTAATCCAGCTCTTCTCCCAACAAATAATATTTTCAGCTGTCTGCTTGCTTCGCCCCCATCCAGTTACTGTATTTTGTACTACTGTCTTGCATGGTAGATCCGGATACTTTATTTGCCAATTCATAAACTGGAAGACTTGGAAGTAGCGGTCAAGATCATGGACATTGTGAGAGGTTTCTTTCTTCAAGTATAGAACCTTACGAATATCAAAAACAGCTATATATTATTATTATTGAATTTAGTAAAAGCTTCTTTTACAGTAATATGATCAATTCATATTCCAGGAAAATAATTATACCTTTCTTGAGAACTGTTGTTCTCATCTCTTTTGTGACCATTGGCTACTTTTCTTCAACTTTCATTTCCATATCCTCCCAATACTCAAGTTCATGCTCCTCTCTGTACTCCTTGAGCTGTCTTACTCTCTCTTTCTCCTTACATTCCCTTCGCCATAATGTTGTTCTAGATGGTCTCTTCTTGGTGTTCAACCTCAGGGCATTTGTTCTGTAAGGCTGGATAGGCGACGGTGTCTCTGTTTAGAATTGGGCAGATTCTTCTACTTCCTGGGTGGAGTCTTCCTGCTGGCGCAACTCGGCCTCCGATATTGGACTTGACTCACCACTGCAGTGGGTTCTAGTTGGTAATTCTGGGATGCTGCATATTTTTTTAGGATGTCCCCCTTGGGCTCCTACTTTGCATTAGCTTTTCTGTTTATCATTTAAGAGAGGTATACTAATGGTGTTGTTATGTGGAATGTGTAATTATTCATCACTCTTACTCTATACTGTTCTCATAACTTGATATCTATTAATTATTTTTACAACTTAGTCATCTTGGCCCCTCAGTATTTTTCAGTCTGCTCCTATGTACATTCTATCACATATTTCACTCTCACCAAAATTTGCTCTTTTCAAACTTGAACTACTTTTTCTAATAACACCATATTACAAAAAAAAAATATCAGGCCTCTTTTCCTCTTGAATGTCTTCCTCGCTGATGTTTTTTTTTATTTTTATTCCTTGTTGTGGTTGACTAGTTCAATTTCTGGTTTGCCTGTTTTGAGGACCACAATTGAGTTGCTTTGCACTATATGTACTGGACAGTCTAATGAGATGTGTGCAATCTCATTTTATCCAAAAATGACAATCTGATAACAATGATGGTAGATGCATAGGGGGAATTTCTCAGCATGCATGTGATTTATGATGAGATTTAAACTCAATGGATTTATTCTCACAAAATCTAATTTAATAATTCTTTTCTAGACTCTCTAAAGTTGAACATATTGAAGTTTCGGCAATTTCTGACTATTCATATCTTCTCCCTCACACTTTCAACATTCAAAATGTGCTTGAGTGTAGATTGAGGGGATGCAAGTCATATATGTGCTGAGCAGTTAATCAGATGTGCATAATCTCATCTTATCCAAAAATAACAATCTAGTAAGATCTGTCCTGTAATATACCATGCTCAAGGTTTGTGATCACAACATGTGATAAGGGTGAAATTGCCGAGATGCCAAGCTAGAATGTGAAGATTTTTATTCCTTAAATACTCAACAAACTTTCAATATTTACAATGTGCTTGAGCATAGATCGAGGAGATACTAATTCATATATGTACTAAGCAGTCTAATTTGATGTGCACAATCAAATCTATTCAAGTGACTGATCTGATGATCAGATATCCCGTGCTTACCAGTACACCTGTAGCATTTTTCATCACAATAGGATCTTGCTTGTTCTTCCTTAGACTTTCAACATTCACAACATGCTCGAGTGAAGATTGAGGGGATGCTAGTCATATATGAACTGAGCAGTTAATCAGATTTGCACAATCAGTTTAATCTCATGGGACAACCTGATAATCGGATATCCCGTGATCACAGGTACCACTGTAGGATTTTCCATCACAACTACATGTTACACTATAAATGCTTAGATTAAATGGTAATTGTAGTAATATACTCTACTTTGGGGTAGAGGAATGGCTAGTCAAATATATACTACACGGTAGTTTGGACACCTGTCCTATCTCACAGGCAGATCTAATCTGATCTTATGTTTAGTGAGTATGACACAGCATGATCTGCTTTGTGCAATATTAGATATTTCTGGTTATGACTTGCAGAGTTTCAGTTCCACTCAGACAGGCAGAATAAAAAACCCCTCTCACACCTGTTGTCATGAATATGGCTTGGTGAGGAAAAGGTTTTCACATGACACATGGTTATGAGTCACAGGTATGTTATTGTTTCACACATATGACTCATTTGAGTCAAATGATTTGTTATGTGTGGGATTTGTGATGCTTTTGTACATGGCTCAAATATGAGTTATGGGAGTGCACCTGGCGAGTATGCCTTGCGAGTGTGCCTTGCGGGTAGGCCTGGCGCATATGATTTATATTTCACACATGACCTCATTATGAGGTTATGGATTTCACGCATATGACTCAGTCGAGTCATATGACTTGTTTATTGTGTTATGATTGGTTTATGAGTTTTGCACATGACTTCATTATGAGATCATGGGTTTTGAGCATGTGATAATCTCAGTCACATGACTAGTTTGTTATGATTTGATTTTGCACATGTGACCACTTTGGGTCACATGACTAAAGGCTGGAAGAATACTATATAAGAAGGCTGAAGCGGCTGAGGAGGATAGGTTCTTCACGCTTTGTTCAAAGTACTTTTCCTACTTCTTGCACTCCATGTCGGAAGTGAGCATAACCAATACTTTATCTTATTTTGCTCGTGATAAATACTTCATCTACTGTTACCTGTTTGTGTTTTTCGTCTTGGGCGGTCGGTTAGAAGCAGTTGTTCTCGCTTAAAAGATACTTCAGTATGAGATATCCATGGCCTGGTCTCGGTAATCACTGAGTATAGTTTGGGCAAGGATGGCGTCTTCAACAGCCTCCTCTTCCACGGATTGTCCCCCTCCTTTGAGAATGTCGTCCCCTGTTTGGTTCGACTCCAACCCCTCCTCCTCGCTTGAGACAGCCCGTGCAGCCTTGTCTCTTGTGCCCGCTGCTGAGGCCGGCTGTGGCCTCATCCCTACAACTACACAGTCATATGTCGCACCCAGAGGAAACTTTAATTTCCT